CATTAGTACGACAAGATTCCATTCACCAATCTACACATCCGAATGTTTGTCTGATCTGAGGCCGCTGTCATAACAATCTGTATCAGCAATTTAGGAGAAACGATCGCTGCCACATAACCTGTAACGAACAGTACCTTGTTCTCCGCCACCATGAGCTACGAGAAATCCACCAACACTTCCCGCCTGGGGCGGGCCCCCGGCCTGGATGACTTCGTACTCGGCTTCGTCGGTGCCAGTACACCACCGTCGCAAACGCTGGACCACACTCTGCGATTCTTGTCGACTTGGTCGGGTACGGAGTGAGTCGGCATTCTTTCCGCGGGTGGTCGTCGTTCTGAGCAGAACTCGCTTTCACAGTAAACTCATGATGGTTCGTCGGCGTCGTTGCTCGCTCGAAACATATCCTGTGTCGAACTCACTGCCGCGCTCAGTCGACACAATACGCGGCCCGCCTAATCGCTCCTGCTCTCGTGTACCGTGCCCTCTTGCAATTCAACGCGAAGAAACGAGCGCAACCTGCTTCATTAACGAGTGAGGGACTGCTCAAATTCGCGGGTCAGATTAGCATTGCGCGGCGGATTATGGGCTTTGGGGTGCGTGGCTACCAGTTCGTCTCTGTCTTTCCTCTTCTGACGCGTCTTTCACTAGGATTGCTCGGAATACTGAAAGGCCTCTCCTCTCTCGAACGCTCCCCTCCGGCGTCCCGCCTTGCGCTTAACCTTGCCCGTCTGCAAGGACTGTCAATGATCGTGTTCTATCCCCTCGAATACATCTCATTCTTTTCTGCCCCCTTTGCACCGGTCTTGCGTATCTCGCCATCTCTGGCAGGAAAGGCGGGGCTGTGGAGTGTACGCGCATGGGGCGTGTATGTGCTCTTGAAGATCGTCGAGCAGCTTCACCAGTGGCGCGAACTGTCGAATCAACAGGAACAGATCTCTCTGGGCGATGACGAAAAAGCTCAGGCGGCACGAGTGGTCAACAAGCAGAAGCGATACGTTCTTGCGCATCACCTCTTGGCAAATGTGTCGCGTCTGCCGGTCATCTTGCATTGGTGCGTTTTCCGCGCGTCTGGATGCGGCCTTTCCGCTCATTTTGGAACAGGTCCGTGGTCGGAGGCGTATATAGTAACGAGGTCAGTTGTTCACGCGTTTCCATGAACTACGACGGCTAATCGATCTTCAGTTGCTGACGAGCGCGTTATCACTCATATCTGGTCTGGCGGCGTTCCGTGGTGGATGGGAAGGCAGCCGAATCCCTGCCCCCATGAAATGATGATACCTTCTGCATAATTAGTATATTTCGTCCATAGTGTCCATGTGCAATCTTTGCCTATAATTGTCAGTATATTTATGGCACGGCCAGCGATTCACTCCGCCCGGCATGACTGGATCCTGCTGCCACTTCCGATGAAGACATTGCCAGGCAGCATGTTCTATGAGGCCTAGCTTCGAAGCTTTCAAGTTCGCCGCGCATTTCGGTTAGGAATGACAAGTATAGATCAACATATGATACGTATGGAGATCAGAGTGATGCTAAATGCGAGTTGTCGTTGGCCCGGAATGGGCTGTCGAACATCCTTGTGTTGACTGCAAGGTTGGGGCAATGGGCGCGGGCGCATCAACTTCTCAGCTTATACCATCCCACGTGATATCTTTACAGACATGTTATTGCTTTTGCTGACACTCACCCAAGGTCGGACCCTGAAAATCGGCATACATCATTCAAGTGACCTCTCTAGCATGACGAGTAATCCTGTGGCTCGTAAAATTCATCAATCTCGAAGAAACATCAAGGACTATCGAGCTGGATCCACTCAATAGCAAATTTCTGGTTAAGACTACTGCTCTCTTTCGATCCATGCAAGGGCTACAAGATCTGCGCAGTGGATCCGCCATCTTATGTTTCAAGTGTGCGAGTTTGCCCCGATCTTGAGCTTGACTGGCCGCCCGAAAAGCTCGCATATACTGTAGGTGAGCATAACTGTCAACTCTGTCATAGGAAAGTCGATCTGAAGTCAGCTGGATAGATGACGGCATTGGCATCGGTGTTATAAACACGTCTGCAAATCTAGCGAAGCACATAATTTGGCGGCTACGCATCCCGTGTGTTTCTTCTCATTCCTTGTTCTGTACCAAGCGATTGATCCGCAAGTGACTATCCCAACACCAAGACCACTTTGTAATATCGTCCCAGAGTTGACGCAAGACACGTCGATCAATGGACCACTCCCGAACATCGCATGGCAGTGTAAAGCTCACCAGCAGTGATGGCTGGTGAATCGGACGATCGAGTTGCTGAATCTCCAAGCCTAACGCGGTCGTCCGTCCTAGGCCAGAGTGCATTTTGCGTCCGGAGGGCATGCTCCCAGGGCAAGCCGGCATGTACAATCCAGTCTGATTTCGATTATACTAACGTACTGTGTAGGGTCAATACAACTTCCGCTATATCGGGGGTCTCTAATCGTACAGCTCGCAAAGCACGACCGCCTGGAGGTTAACGTCCCCGCTGTTGCAGACCGCAAGGTTCTGTTCGCTCAGAAATGCTGGCGTCCCGTTCAACTGCAATATGACGGACGTCAGGACTGGGTAGAACGATGTAGGAGGGATGAACAAGTGTCTCTCCTCCTGTATCTACTATCATTTCATCTAGAAGATTGACTATGTCATAGATATCTGGGACAGCGTCGATGGTGATATGACTGATGCGCTCATGAGTGTCAACGCACATGCTCGTCTCATGGTACTCTGCCTCCCTGTGCGTTTTAGGAAGAACTTCTGAAGCCTTCTTAGGCGTGCAGACACCTCGGTTTGTTTACTAATGCTACCGAGCCCGGGGCCATCAAGGTGCTGAGTGACATCCGCTCTTTCCAGCGATGTCAATTCCCTTCAAAAAGGTCAACTGAAAGGAGACAATACGCGGAAGGCAGCCGCGCCGGAGGACCAGTCCGCTTGAGTGGCATTGAAGGCACTTGGGTTGGTCATCATTAATGACTCATCTGTAACTCAGACCATTGGACTGGCGGTCTATTGCTCACCTCAGCGATCGCCGGACCAGCAAGAGATTGAGCACAATCTACGTCAGCATCTTCGCGCGTCTTGTTCAGCGGACCTCGAGCCTTACGAGCCTTACTGCGAGTATCACGCATAACGTAGTGACAGGAATCTCAGTGGCAGTGCGATTTTCGTGCTGCCAGCATCTTGATTCTGGGTCCTCTGTTACATCTTGCAGATGTCTTCCACTCCGCTCGTCTTCTCTATTCCCCGAAAGCGGGGAATACCTCTGACGCAAGGAATACCTCGCATCCCCAGTGAGAATGTATCTGACGGATCTGAAACTGTGCCCTGACAGGCATTAGGGTCATCGTCCTGCTCCCATGGTGTAAGCTGGCTCCTGTCTGTGTCAGCCTTGTTGTAATGCTCTTTCGCGCTCCCAGTGGATGCCAAAGCATCACATCTCAAGTATTACACGTCGAAATACGCGTCCCTTTATCCGAGCGCGACGCAGATTGTCATCCAGTCTGACTACAAGGCTCTCATTGGTGGTACAGCTTTCAACGTGCGTACGAGAATGTGTTCGGCACAGATTGATGTTCACAATGGTTAGACAGGCTGAACGGCTTGCGCCCGCTGTCGAAATCTTGACTCAGCTCGGTGTTCTGAGTGCTGCTCCCCCACCCATCTTATTCCACGCCATGTCCGGAGGTCAAACCTTTCATCCTGAACTGGTTCACTTGACTGACGGGATTGAACAGGTGGAGTAGCCCAGCTTCTCCACCTCGCCATCGCCATCCGCCGACATCATCTCCCAAATGTCCCGCCCTCACATCAAGTGCCCGTCGCCTTCGTCTTCGATTCAGGACCAAGCACATACCACGGCTCTGACCTCCGCAACGCCATGACGATGACCTACCCACCCGGCGTTCAGAAAGCCGCCGTTTTCATGACGGCGCAGCTCCTCTGGACTGATTTGTGCGCTCGCGCTGCCCTAGGTCTGGCAGAACTTCCGCAGGACGTGGTTCTGCCCGGGGTGCTCAATCCGACTTTATTTCCGTGGACGGAACGTGCGACACCGCGGCTGTATGTCTTTTCGGATACCGACGCCATGTCCTTGGTGCCGGGCGTGCGAGCCCACGTGCAAGAGGCGAGGGAGCGCGGGCTCAATGTGTCGGTGGAGGAATTCAATGGCAGTCGGCATGTTGGCCATGCGTTTGCTGACCCGAAGCGATACTGGAGTGCGGTCCAACGGGTTTGGGACGAAGCAGTGATCGTGAAAGGTCAAAGCAAGTTGTGATTGGTTGTAGATAAATCAGATCAGGAGATTAGATTCTATCAACATGGGATGCCTCTCAGTATAGGAAGTACTTCGCCGTGTACCTGACCGAGATGTTGGCTGAACCAGGAGTGCACTAGGAATATCAACACGTTAATTGATGATATTCAAGTCTGGAGAAGCCTATGAAAGCTCACGGAAGTGGGAGGTTGACCACCAACTGTGTCAATCCGGAAAATCTTGGACGCGAGCGAGCCTTGTACACCATTCAGAGCGAGCCAATCGACATTTGTTGCCGCGTTGCTCGGAGCAAGGATGTCTCCAACTTTGGCCCCGATTACGATGGCAGATGGGTTGTGTTGCGGGACGGAGAAGTCCCACTCGGGGGAGATGCCGGTGCCGGTGGGTGAGCGCACGAAGTAGTGCGACTAGAGGTAGAGTTAGCTGGTTTATCCAAAGATCTCGACGCATCACAAACTGACCCCGAGCAGTGCACCAGTGCCAATCTCGGCGCCAATGTCGCTCGCCTCAATCGCCGGCGCCGCGCGGCTCCAGCTATCGAAAGCGGTTTGCTGGATGGTCGCGAATGCGGGTGTTTTGTCCATGCATGCGATGTCAAACAGCGATGCAACCGCGCCGATAGAGCTGGAGAGTTCAACAACAGGCTCTGAAGTGAGGGCAGGAAAGTTACCTGTAGGTCGACGTAGAAGGGTTGCAGGTGTAATTTTGGAAACCCACACCCAAGGTAACGTAGAGAGGAGCCGTCGTGGGCGCTACCAGGGCGGTCTGGTTTTTGGGAGATCCATTACCGCTGCGGCCAGGTCGCATTTGCTTTGGCGGCTCTTCCAGGGCTCGAGGCTGGGAGCGCCAAAAGCCGGGAGGACAAGAGAGGCTGCAAGTAGCGAGAGAACTGGGTACATTGGTCTGAGAGGACAGATGTCGAGACAGGGATGAAGATAGCGGCCTGGTAGTCTGTAGGGTTTTATAAGATTTCGCGAGACTCATTTGGGACACCGGAATCGAGATTGATCTGCCAGCGATGTCAACAAGCTGAGTTGCTGTGAAGCGGAAGTGTAGGATGACTATCAGAGCAATGACGTGAGGCTAAAAGTAAGAAAGGCCGAGGCAAGAGATGTCGAGTTTGGGTTCGAACCAGCCCCAGGCCCACACGCGAATGACAGAGGCTAAACCGTCTAAACATCCTGCAGAATGGTCTAAAGGCGGAAAACTGTATAGCCCACATCGTGGCCGCCGAAGAGCGCCAACAAGCCGTCGCATGCCAATCGTACAACTGGCATCTTTTCACCGGCTCCGGAGAGTTTGATGAGCGTTTTGACGAGCGGGAAGAGATTGAACAAGTGATAGAGCGGCCACGTCTGGAGATCAGGGGACTGCCAATCAGGACATGGACGTAGAAGAATCTTGCGGATGTCTGGTCGTAGAACTGCGCTGCGGCCTATTCACAGTAGATGGAGGTGGTGTGAAGATAGGACGGAGTGGAGGAGACTCGTGGAGTTCAGTCCGCCCGTACGTAGAATCACCAGAGGGTTGAGGAGACCTTCCGTGATTCATCGTAGATTGGGGGAACATGGAGAACGTGGCATGCCGCGACGATGGACGTGAGGTGACAATGCCTGCGCTTGGGTTACATTGAAAGAGAGATGGCCCTGATGAGGAAAGAGTGTCAAAACTGTGGTCTCATAACCAGCGCCGCTGATTGCACCGATAACAAAGAGATAAGTGGTGACGTTTCCCGGCGGGCTGGATCCGACTTTATTTCTGTGGACGGAACGCGCGACGCCGTGGTTGTATGGCTTTTCAAAGACGGACGCGATGTCTACGAGCTACGTGCAAGAGGTGAGGGAGCGCGGGCTCAATGTGTCAGGAGAGGGATCCAAAGGCAATCGCTATGTTAGCCATGCGTTTGCTGACCCGAAGCAATACTGGATTGCGGTCCAACGGGTTTGGGACGAAGCAGTGATCGTGAAAGGTCAAAGCAAGTGGTAATTGATTGTAAATATATCAGGTCAAGAGATTAGATGCTATCAGGATGTGATGTTACTTTCAGTACAGGAAGTACTTCGCCGTGTATTTGACTGAGATATTCGCTGAACCAGCAGCACACTGTGAGCCTCAATCAGCAATACTCAAACGTGAAGCAGCGTTCAAGAGCTCACAGAGGTGGGAGGTTGTCCGCCAACTGTATCGATCCGGAAAATCTTGGATGCGAGCGAGCCTTGTACACCGTTCACGGCGACCCAATCGAGATTTGCCGCCGGGTTGTTTGGGGCAGGGATGTCTCCAACTTTGGTTCCGATAACGATGGCAGATGCGTTGTGTTGCGGGATGGAAAAGTCCCACTCGGGTGAGATGCCGGTGCCGGTGGGTGAGTGAACGAAGTAGTAAGACTGCAGGCAAGGTCATGTCGGTTTCTCAAGTCTTAACACGGCAAAAACTGACCCCAAGTAGTGCATTGGTCCTAGTCGCGGCTAGAACGGGGCTCAGAGTCATCGCTGATGTCGCGCCGCTCCAGATATCAAAAGCGGTCTGCTGGATAGTCGCAAATGCAGGTGTTTTGTCCACGCATGAGATGTCGAAAATCAATGCAACCGCACCAAGATAGCTGGGTGGGTCAGCAATAAGCTCTACAGCGACCGCTAGAAAGTCACCTGTAGGTCAAGGTAGAAGGATCGCAGGTATAATTCTGGAAACCGACGCCGAGGGTCACGTAGAGAGGGGACGTCATAGGTGCTACGAGCGAAGTTTGATTTGTTGGAAGATCCATCTCCGCTGCAGTCAGGTCGCAATTGATTTGGCCGCTCTTCCAGGGCTCGGAAGTAGGAGCAGAAAAAGTAGGGAGAACGAAAGAGGCTATGAGTAACGAGCGGACGGAGAACATGTCGAGGAAAGGAAGGTGCAGGAAAGGAAGGTGTTGACGCTGGAATTATGATAGAGGCCGGGTAGTCCGCAGGGTTTTATCAGTTCTTGCGAGACTCATTCTGACCACAGGAATCAAGATTGGTGTGTGGATGATGTCAAGAAGCTGAAGTTTCCGTGAAGCGGGAGCAAGATCTGCAAGAGGCCAAATACTTCGGTAATGACACCGCGGCGGCAAGGATAATTCCATTGGCTATCATATCAATGATTCGAGGGCAAAAACGATGGAAATCGAGGCCGAGAAAGTCGAATTCGGGTTCGGATCATGCCCACATGACAATGACGGACCGCAATTCTCCTGCAGAATAGACTGCAGGCAGAAAATCGTGTGGTCCACATCGTAGCTCCGGAAGAGGGCCAGCAAACCGGCGCGTGCCAATCGCATACCCTGCCATCTTTACGCAGGCTCCGATAAGCTGGATGGGAGGGAAGAGATCAAAGACACAACGGAGCGTCCCCGCCTAGAGTTCGTAATCCCGTGTGAGCGGTTCATTAGACTGCCAATCAGAGCATGCTCGCAGTATCTCAGTGATGTCCGGTCGGAGAACTCGGACGGTCTCCTGCCACCCAGGACGTTCAGATACTGGCGTCCGGTATGATTCAGCTGCATGATCGTAAGGCGGGTGCAGTTCCCGCGCATGAGTCTTGCCAACACACGAAATGCCTCTGCGCCCGCTGTGTCTGGTCGGTTACGGAGGACGAGATCCCCAGCCAGGGTGAAATGGCGTGATGATATACTGAAGTCGCCGGTCACGACCATGCCCCATTCGAATGCAGCCCATCGAGAGTAAAGAGACAAGTGGTGGCGATTCGGAGCTCCGCCGAAGAGATGTGGGAGAGGATCGTAGCGGGCGACCTGTCACAGATGTGATTCGACCAAGCAGGCGCGGGGGAAGAAATTAGGAGCCTTGACCAGTGTTTTCAGGGTGGTCCGTCTGCAAGAGAGCGTGATTGGCTCAAGGAGTCAGAATCCTTTGGTCAACGCTATCAAACCGTATTGACCCATTGTTGACCCACCACCGTCGGGCGACACGTGATGGACTCGGTCTGGCGACTGATCACATTCTGGCGTGATGTGAGGCTCTCCTCCGTCAATATGTGCTGAAGTTGAGAAACAAGCAGAAAATTATCCTGACCCCATTCAAAAAGCGTTAACGGTGTTTGAGGCCGCAGCAAAATTGTGCCCCTTGGAGTAATACCGTTCGAACGAACTGATGCTAGATAGTTTGGACCTCAAATGCGCGACGTTGACCTTATCGGACTGTCTAGAATTCCGACGCAGAACCTTCAATACGCAGGCTTGATGCAACTATTCACATAACGATGAGGAGCTATTTGGGCCTGCTGAAAACTCCCTACTCAGCACAGTGCTCCGAGTGCTGCTCCCCCATCCCTATCCGCAGGTCTGACCTTTCATGCTGAATCAGTTCACTTGACTGACGAAATTAGGCAGTTGAAGTAGCCACGTCTGTTTATCCACCTCGCCATCGCCATCCCCCACCGCCATCTCCCGAATGTGGGCGGCATCGTATAAAGTGCCCGTCGCACCTCTGCAACATCACGACAATGATCTGGGCACCTTGCGTGCAGCAAGTCGCTAACCTGATGACGACGCAGCTCCTCTAGACCGAACTCCGTGCCCGTCCTGCCCTAGGCGTCACGGATCTGCCACAGGCCTAGACATGTTTCTGCCCGGTATGCTTAATCCAACGTTACTCAATGGGTCGTTCGAGAGATCGGGATGTAGGCCATGTGTTTGCTGAGCCGAAGCGATTCTAGAATGCGATCCAAATTGGGACGAAGCAGATAGCGGGAAAGGTCGAAGCAAGTTGTAGAAGGTTTTGAGAAGCAGATTAAATGGAGAGATTAGATGACACTATTAAGATAATATGCCCTGATGTTACTCTCAATACAGAAAGTACTTTGCCGTGTACTTGACGGAGATGTTGGCTGAACCAGCAGCACACTAGGAACATCAATCGGTCAGCAATACTCAAAAGTGAAGCAGGATTCGAGAACTTACGGAAGTGGGAGGTTGTCCACCAACTGTATCGATCCGGAAAACCTGGGACGCGAGCGAGCCTTGTACACCGTTCACAGCGAGCCAATCGACATTTGCCGTCGAATTGTTCGGGGCGGGGATGTCTCCAACTTTGGTTCCGATCACGATGGCAGATGTGTTGTGCGACGGGACGGAAAAGTCCCACTCAGGTGAGATGCCGGTGCCGGTGGGGGAGGGTACGAAGTAGTGTGACTGCGAGAAAATCAGCGTTTGTTCTGCAGCAAGTCTTGATATGGCAGAAACTGACCCCGAGCAGGGCATTGGTCCCAACCGAAGCTAGGACGGCTTGCAACGTGATCGTTGGTGCTGCGCGGCTCCAGGCATCAAAAGCGGACTGTTGGATACTCGTGGAGGCGGGCGCTTTATCCATGCATGAAATGTCGAACAGTAATGCGACCGCACCGATAGAACTGACCGGTTCAGCGAGAGGCTCTGCGGCGACCACAAGAAACTCACCTGTACGCCGAGGTGGAAGGATTGCAGGTGTAATTCTGGAAACCCAGACCAAGAGCAACGAAGTGGGGAGGCCTCATGGGTGCCAAGAGCGCAGTTTGATTCGCCGGAAGATTCATCTCCACCGCAGTCAGGTCGCATTTGGTTGGGGCGTTCTTCCAGGGCTCGGGAGTGGGGGCAGCAAAAGTACGGAGGAAAAGACAGGCGGCGATTAACGAGCGGACAGAGAGCATTTCGAGGAAAAGGAAGGTGTTGGGGGTGGAATGATGATAGAGGCCGGGTGGTCTGCAGGGTTTTTATCAGCTCTTGCGAGGATCATGTTGACCATAGAAATCGAGATTGGTGTGTTCATGATGTCAAAAAGCTGAAGTGGTCGTGAAGCGGGAGCATGCACTGCAAGAGGCTAAATACCTCGGTAATGACACCGCGGCGGCAAGCATGATTCCGATTGCTATCATAGCGATGACGCGAAGCCAAAAGCGATGGATGTTGGGGGCGATAACGTCGAGCTCGGGTTGAAACCAGGCCCACATGACAATGACGGATCGTAATGCTCCTGCAGAATAGTCCACAGGTGGAAAACCGCGCAGTCTACATTTCGACTCCTGAAGAAGACCAACAAGCCGTCGCATGCCAATGGTATACCATGCCATCTTTACACCAGCTCCGATAAGCTTGATGGGTGGGAGGAGATCGAAGACGCGACGGAGTGTCCCCGCCTGGAGATCGGGGTCCCGTGCGAACAGTTCATTGGACTGCCAGTCAGAGCACGCCCGCAGGATCTCGGGGATGTCTGGTCGGAGAACTGCGCTGCGGCCTATTCCGAGTAGATGTGCGTGATGTGAGGACAGGACAGAGTGGAGGAGATTCGGCGAGTTCAGTCCACCAGTCAGCAGAATCAGCGGAGGTTTGGGTAGACCTTCCACGATTTGCATTGCGGATTGCGAGAACGTCGCAAATGTGGCCTGCCGCGACGATAGACGTGAGGTGATAAAGTCTGTCCTTGGGCTGCACTGAGAGAGATGACGATGATATGTAAATAGAGCCGGACCTGGGTTCTCATAATCACCACCACTGATTTCAATGAAATCGAACAATCCCCAGCTTGCGATGGTGCGAAAGTGCTCGAACACAAGAGTGGTTTCATTGCTCGAATAATCGGCAGAATTGATCTTGATCCCGAGCACGAAATCGGAGGGTACGCTCATGCGAATCCCGTCGGCTATCCGATGAAGCAGTTTGAGTCCTTGAGCTGAGTAATTATCTGTTCGCTGGTTCGACTACGTGTCGTATAAGATAGTTGCCACTTCCAATGACACCGCTGCACACCTTGGAAGACATGAATTGAGCGAGCAAGTCTGCGACCGTTGCATTCAGAGAATCGTATAATTGTCATCGGGTGCTCTACTCACAACCGTGAGCAGCGTGAAGTTCGACACCATCAAATCCGGTATCCACTGCAAGTTTCGCACCCCGGACGAATTCATCCACAACCTTGTCAATATCATCCAGCGACATCTCCCGTGGGAACTGGAACATCAGCCAGTTTATTAAACTAGCCAGCATTCCCTTTGTCGGCATCCGTTGGGAGTCGGTGGTGGCAGGGTGCTCAGATCCGACACGGATGGAGCTCGGTCCTAAGGGGGGAGCAAACGGTGTCCTGCCACCCAAGACGTTCGGAGACTGGCGGCCGGCATGATTCAGCTGCATGATCGCAAGGCGGTTGCCGTTCCCGCGCATGACTTTCGCCAACGCGCGAAATGCCTCTGCGCCTGCTGCGTCGTGTTGGCTAGGCAGAACGAGATCCCGGGCCAGGGTGAGATGGTGTGGTGAGATGTTGACGTTGCCGGTGATGACCATGCCCCATTCGAATGCAGCCCATTGAGAATAAAGAGACAAGTGGTGACGATTCGGAGGTCCGCCAAATAGATGCGCGAGATGTTCGTAGAGCGCGACCTGCCACGGATGTGATTCGAGCAAGAAGACGGGGAAGAAGATTGCGAGCCTTGACTAGTCTGTTGGGGACGGTTCGTCCGCAGGGGAGGGTGATTGGCTCGAAGACGCCTTGTTTGTCATTACATGCCATTTTGGGCTAACGACGGAGAGCGAAATTCGAATAGTGTGGATCCGGAGAAGGCCGGCACATTTGATTGATGACAGCTGCAGCCATATTCCCACCGGAACCCACGAATGCTGAACGAGTCTGAGCTCTGACATCAGCCCATGTATGCTACGGACGCAAAGAAAGATGCCCGCCGTTGAAAACTCACGATCGCTCAAGTGCTTGTTCTTCGGGTGACGGAGCGCGTGCGGAGGGAGGAGAGGGGTCATCTAGTTGAATCGCTACTAGGTGAACGGAGAACTAGCGCTTGCGGGACTCTCCTTTCATCCATGCCTGTTCTCAGTCAAAAACTCACAAGTTATGCGTGCGCTGCTCTCTTTTCTCGGCGCGGACTCGCCAAAATCGCACTTCTATCCACCATATGCACATTTCTCTTCTTGCTCCTTCCTCTCCCTGCGACGCGTCTCGCGGTGGGTAGTGGGATATACAATTATGACACCGAGTCCGTCTCGATGCTCCTGCCTCTTCACGATCTGCCCAGCACGCACTGGGCGCAGCACAATCAACTTACCATGAAATCGCTCTTGGCGTGTCTGGCGGCCGGTACGTGCCTTGAGAACGAAAAGAAAGGTGAGATATTTTCACGCGCCATTCGAGGCTCTGAGAGCTGACTCGAACTGCCAGTCGTTCTGCTCGCCACGCCCGACTTCAAGAGTAGCCTAGAAGGGCACAATGGCGGGGAACAGGTTTGGGCTCAGTCTACGGTTCGCAACGTTCTCCATTTCTGGCATAGATTACTGAAATCACCTAGACTGCAGCACTTAGGAACCTTGGCTACAGCTTCTTGTATGCCCAAGGACGGCGCGATGATCCTGGAGGCGACATGTTCGCGGCTGCACAGTTCCACCGGATGTTTCCCGATCTAGTCAAAGTCATCCTCGCCAGGAAAGATAGTGTAACAGCCTGCTTCGAAGACTCGTTCCTGCAATGTCTTCGCACCGACGACAATCCGTATGGTATCCCTGCGTACAAGCTGTTGACAGTTGATTTCTGGGAGCGACCTGCTCATCCGTATGGGAGAAAGTGGACGCTGTCACCAGAGGACGTGCGTGGATGATATTCATGAACTCGAATCTCTCTGACAAACAGTGTAATTAGTACCATCATATCGACAGCAGCATTTTGGGCAACACGTATCTTGGATACAGTCCTGAACCGCTTTGCAAATCACTTGCCTTTATTCCGCATTCTCAACGGCCCCGGCCCCGAAAAGCTTACATCTTCACGAAAAGCATGTGGCGCTTCGAAAAGCCACATCATGAATGGGAGTTTCAGTTTTACGACCAGGCTGCGGAGGAGACGGGTGTGCATTTCGTCGTTGGTGCTGAAGGAACACCGCTGCCCGGTTTCCCGAACCACATTGAAAACGTAGGTTTGCTGTCCCAGGATGCGTTCTATAAAGAACTTGCCAATTCGTCACTACTTGTGGGAACTGGGTATCCATGGACGTGCGTGACAATCGTGTGCCAAAACGAATGGTGCCCTTTTGACTGACCGAGTTCGTCAGTTCGCCGACCCCGTACGATGCGCTGTGCCTTGGAATACCCTTTCTGAACCCCATCAAATCGGTGTGTTCTGTGTCTGATCATGACGGAATTCACTCATATATCTTGATAGTGGGATCACGCCGATCCAAAGAATCGGGATAAATGGGTCGCCCAACATGGGACACTCAAGTTTTTGGACCCTCCCTATGTATACAACGTTTTCCACGGCGACAAAGAGGGTTTCATCTCGGCCGTGCGTCAAGCCTTGAATAATCCTATTGAAAGGCAAGTCAATTCAGGCTCTGCATACCACTTGCATTGACACAGTCGTGATCAGCTACATTCCGGAGGAGATGCAGATGTCAGCTGTCGAGAAGCGACTCCAGAAGATAGTGGAAACAGATTGGGAAGCGGAAGCCAGGACTGTGAGATTGCCTGCATGAGAGCGTTCGGATGTGTACGACACGAGGATGACATTTGGACAACAGCCTGATATCTAGAGTTTTCCGCCTCAGGCGAACCATCAGCTTCTCGATGCCGGCTTTTATCATTGGAAACTGGTCGATCGACGACTTGATGTTGTGATGATCGCCTGATTTGACTATCCTGCGATGGACTGAGCGTGCCGCGGTCGCTGAGCCTTGCACATGAATACAATGTAGATCAATTCGTAAGGCAGGAATCCCTAGCGGGGCGGGGCTAACAGTGAGAGGATAGATGATAATCTTGGGCTTCATCAAGCCCATGCCTAAGGCCCAGTCCAGGTCCAAATTGGCTGCACGATGAGATGGTCCACGAGACTAGCGTCCGTAATCAACATGGAAAGACACTTGGTTACACGGAACTTGACTGTCGGTATCTTCATGCTTTGAGTCTGAGTTAGAGAAGACGACCTCTGCCCCGAGGCGAACAAGCCAGCGAGATGACCAAGGCCGCCGAGTCCGACGACGCAGACACGGTGGCTGAGGCGAATGTCATGGGCATCGACGATCTCGAGCACAGTCGCGCCAGTGTAGATCATCGGAGCGGCAGCGCGCTCGGGTCCTAATTCCTCAGAAATGTCAAAAGGAAAGTCCGCTCCCACATAGGATACGTGACGCAGGAGTTCTGGTCCCAGTTGGGGGTCTCGCACATCTCTCGCCCCCAGCAATGCTGTTCTTGGCCTGGGAAACGAGATATCAGCGGGGGTATGAGGGGCTAGGCAGCTGATGGATACTGTTTGAGCATTGCTCACACCCTCACACGTCCTGTGGATGAACCCCCATCCGCCCACTTCCACGACATCTACAAGCTTCTCATCAGGACCGACTTGCTCAACTGCACCCAGATTTTCGAGCCCGAGAGTCATGGGGAGTCTTGTAGTACTCGTCCGATCCGCAGACGTCAGATTGGGTGATGCAGACGAGGACCTGGATTCCGTTTGGTGCGGGCTGTGTCGAGGTAGCCTAGACGGTGCCGTCATGCTGAGAGTCATTGAAGATAGTGAGTTCTACGCTCATGGATGTGATAATCTTGAAGCACCAGTTCAGGCTAAACCAAAGTTAGAAGTGGGCCGAGTTGCAATGTGACTACGCCACACCACAGGCCCCGGCTCATATGCAGACTTCGATGATGCCGCGGGTGCACAATGCAGCCGTCTTTTATCGGTCACGTTGGAAAGGCACTCAAAAAGATGGTCAGGGCAGGGAGGGAACCGAAACCAGAGAACGTGAGATGCGGCTGTATGAACTCCTGTCGTGCTGGGACATTCTCCTCAAGTAAGCTCGGCACTGATATCCAAGTTCCAGCAGTCTAGAGTGTATCAAAGGAAATGCTCACAGACCTTCTGGAAAGCTTGACAATGTTCTGGATTCAGGAGCTGCCATCTAGAGCGCACAAGACAACTTCACGACCACTCGTCTGTAAGTTCGAGATTCCTATGCAGTCTGTGATTACGGACATCTGGAAATATGTGCTCGCATTATAAGCGGGTGGCATTCAACTTCATAGGACTCACTCGAATCATCCCTCTAGTCGTCCGGTCGATTCGACCTCTTCCTGACCCGTACTGCATGGAATGCTGACAACAGGCACCGAGCTATGCAAACAATCGTGAAGAACAAAGTCGCCGCTCCCTCCGGGACTGAGGCAAAATCGCTTACTTGACCATCGGGCCCGCGGGAAGCCAGCCGTCCCGAGAAATCCCGTCGGCTTGTATAACTTGAACACTGGCTTCGATGAAGATTGCATGGTCATCGTACCAGGGTTGGAATTCCGACATTGTTTCGCGCAGGCAAACGCAGGGGATGCGGTAGTTTCCGCAGCGGTCAAGCAATAAGGTCCGAGAAATCTGAGGGTGGGGAACGTCCAGGAAGGATATCACCGAGAAGGTCTAGTGAGGTCTGGAGCAGGCTAAAACGATGTTTCTAGAAGTGGGACGCCGGCAAGTAGTAATGCAAAGCAAGTTCATATCTTAGATACAGCTGCCAGCCTTGCGTCGGCGGTTCGAACCGTCAGGCTTGCGAGGTTGAAATTCAGCCCGTAAGCCGACCTTCAGATAGAATGCATCATCCAGGGTACTGCATTTGACGGCGAGTATTCCCTCGGAGGCTAGCCATGAGAACAACCCGCCATGTGTATTCATCAGCCGCTACAGGCCGGAACCAGCTACTTGGATTCTTCTCCGTTGGCAGGAATAAGCCCCACTCGCGTTGCAACGCCGTCAGCTTTTGAATCCAGGGTGTTCTTGTGATCCCGCAGGCCGTGGGCTTTCTGCTTTTCGAATTCGGAGTGAACCTTCTGCGCCTGGTCTTTCTACAGCGTGCCGTCAGCCGCAATTCAAATGGTTGGGCCCCACTGCAAAGAAGACAATGTCCGCACCGATTTCGTTCCGTGTACACACTCTAGGTAATCGTCCCGCTCTAGCTTGCATTCGAATTTCGGGGCGTCAGACAGGGTATGGCATTTCGCGAAGGCGCGCCAGAAGTCGGAACATTTGGAGGCGCCGCCACTGAATCCGTGTCCAGACTGTGCAAGTCGACAGGTCAGCGAATAGTAACATCATCTGAAGAGGTCGGGCGTGTTCACCATTGGGGTCGAGAGGAAGGTTGTTTGGCGTTCGTAAATAGGGATGACAAGAAGTGGATGACGCGCGGATCCAGTGACATCGCGGGCTTGCTCCTCTCGCTGCGGCTCGCTTCATTCTTTCCAGTCTTTTGTCTTCTATCCATTGGTGAGCTTTCCGCTTGCAAACCAAGGGGATCATTCACGTATCGGACGCCACTTAGTCTACAGTAAATGGCAGACCAAGCAGAAATCGCGTTTCTTCGTACCCTCAGCAACACGCTGTCCGCCCAGCCAGTTGTATATGGCGATAACTACCAGCAGCCGCCGGAAAACTGGCTCCCTAAGGTCCCTGTCATCAAGGTGCTCGTCCCTCTCCCAGTTAGATTGAACTGGCCTCACAATCATCCTAATTCCGCAGATCCCAGTGCCTGCCCCACCGTCGCGTCCAAGCGCGTCATCCTCCGCAGCTTCCTCGTCTCAAGGAACCTCAGGCGAGATCACGCTCACAATCAAATCGATCAAGCCCTCCCTCACGCATACCCTTTCTCTCCACCCGGCCGATACTGTGCTTTCGCTGAAGCAGCGTCTCTCAGAGCTTTCTGGATGGCCTGCGGTCGCGGCGCAGAGGCTGCTGCTCAAAGGTAAGGCACTGGCAGATGCGCGGCTACTGGGAGAGTACTCGCTGAAGAGTGGCGATGTCGTCACCTTGATGATATCGAAAGACGCGGTCGTGATCGCCGCTGCAGCCCCGCCTGCACCTACATCTGAACCCGCACCTGCCGTTGTGAAACCATCTGGATCCACATTGTCGATTGAAACCGATGCTCAACCCAGCAAGTCAAGGAAACAACAGTCCGGACACGGCCGGACGCCATCTATCGTGCTGTCGCCCTCTCCCTCCCCTTCTCTAGAGCTTCCTCCTCCTCCAGAGCTATTATTGCACGACAGCGGTGCAGGCGCAGTGAAGGATATCCATCTGACCTTGGATGCTGTGCCTCCGCCAGCCGGGGAAGCAGCCCATGCCATGCCGGAGTTCCACGATACAATTGCCCGGCCCGAGTTCTGGGAGGCATTGTTGTCATTCTTACAGTGCGTTCTGCCCCTTGTCGCCCTTGGCTGTCATGTGCTAACCATTGCTCAGGGAGCAAAGTCAACAGTCGCCGGCCACTGCAACGGACATCTACGAGCTCTTCTTGCGTGCTGCGAAGGGTGGACTCACTGCGAGTGAGATTGCCCGGATCCGAGATAGAGTCGGAGTGGTTGGCATGGGCGGATTGTAGATCGAGAATTGTACAATGCGACGTCAAACGAACCTTAAACCGATCGACATCCCATCCAAGACGCCCGCTTTGATATGCCAGGACATCCCACGCCTCGGACGCCTCAAGCTCTTCTTGTGTCCTGGGCTGGTGGCCCTTTTCGACGACGATCTTTGGGTAATAATGATTATCAAACCATCGCTGCTGAGTTCGGGCCGGATGTCCTTTCCGTACAATAGTGTCTCTGCCGTGAAGGGAAAGTTGGCCTCGCGGTTGGAAACCTTCAATTGTTCCGCACTCGGCGTTCACAAGACAAGGTTGTGTGCCATCAGGGATGGTGTGGGTGAGCCCGATCACAAATGATTTCGAAGTGTGATCAGTCTTTATTGTCTCATTCGCCCAGGGCAACCACTCCTTCACAATAGCATGAGTGCCGATAGTTCGCACTATTGTTCGATCGTGCCCGATTCGGCCTCGAGAATCAATGTAACGACGAGACATCGCAGCGTATTGTCTGCTTTACCTTGTAAAACCAATTGCGGGGTATAATAACGTTGTCCTCCGGGCGCTTGGTCTTCTTCCATCTACTGAGCTCTCTTCTCTGTGTTTTCGCTGCTGCTGCGCCGAAAACCTGGATCCCTTCTTTCAAAACCTTGGACCTCTCAACCCGCCATGACCTCTACGATCACACCGACCCCGCAGCCCAGAGCGAGACGCCCTCCGCCAATCAAGAAAAGGCACAGTACGCACCATTTCCTTGGAAACCGTGTGTAGACCAGGTCGCTGACGTCTTGTCCAGCGAAGCCATGCCGATATTACCAGAACGGAACATGCCCTCACGCTGCGCAGGAGGATTGCGACTTTGCGCATGTCTATGCGCCATCTGGGCTGAAATCTTCTCCTTCGCCTCCACCCAAGCAGTGCAGATACTGGCTGCAGGGCGTGTGTACGAATGGAATGTGGTGCCAGTTTCGGCATGGGGATGATCAGGATGGAGTCGAGGAGCTCAGAATCACAGGTTCGTCGCGTTTCTTGCTCGCTGGCTTCTGCACAGACAAGCCTATCCTTTCTGGCGTAGACTATAACATTCAGGTCCGGAGTGCAACTACACCTGGGCCAGAGCCAGGTGAGAGTGAAAGCGACTTTCCCTCAAGGAACGTGTTCTGAGTGACTGTGCTCGAACAGTTGGTCTTGTCCCAGTTGTTCCGCCGTCTCCCTACTTTGGGCAGCCGTCTGCAATCTACTTTGGACCGTCTCCGTATCAGCCGCATACGCCGATGGAGACGAGTCCCGTGGCTTCTCCTGCGGGAAGCCCGACGAGCGAGGAAGAAATGTATGCTCAAAGGCCATACTATTATTCGCCGTACGAGCCTGCGCTGGGTTATTCCCCGGCAGCGATTCCCTCCGCATTCATGGCGATACCTGTCTTCGATACTTCCATGGGCCCGAGGGCCCTGCCTTTGCCGGCAACTCCCGGTCTTTCTCCCCGAACATTTCGCCCTCGATCTGCAAGCTATCACAGTGCGTCCAGGGGAGCCCAGCCAGATCTTATCTGACGCCATGATAGCTAAACCATGCCGATACTTCAAGCCGGGGAGTGTGTGTCCAAGCGGAGATAACTGCACATTGTACGGCTCGTTTTCTCGCAGAGTACACTCCTGGTGCTCATCGCATGGTCCTCCAGCATCCATGCCTATCCACGCGTGAGCGTGTCGACCGAGTCTGACCGGAGTCCCGAGGCCCCGAGCGTCAGGATTTCGCACGAGCCAATCGCGAAAAAAGACTACTTCCCGGTCTCGTGGCGTGTCATCGGTGGCGGCGTGTCCCTGAGCGACAACAAGCGTGCGCCGTCCCCCCCTTTGCACTCCCTGGTATGCTCTGAAATCGGAGAAGAACCCATCCTCCCTCCGTTCTCGGACGAGGAGGACGTAGCCTCCGATGTCTCCCAAGACTCGGCGTCGACGTTCGAGATGCCTTCGGATGGCCCGTCGTCGAATAGCGATCACGAGCTACTCGTTGAACCCAGTGTGACCTCGACGATCGATTTCCCTTCGGAGGGGGAGGATGACACAGAGGAGAACGACGCTGTGCTACGGCGCACTCCCCTGAAGATGACGATCCCCGCAGTCCGGCAGCGCGCGTCGTCCGGTCCGTCGACACCTATCGGCACCCACCTCGTCGATGTTCTACGGGTACGTATCTGTCAAAAACGTTCCGTGGCGCTGCATCTCATCTCTTTTCCCGCAGTTGTTCCCTGCCGAGTCGTAGACACTTCGAGTTCATTTTACTTTCGATACTTTTTGGGACCCAACGGCGCGTCATTCGATGTTCAATTACTCGCCCTTGTGAATGTATTTTTTTTGTTCGTTTCACGGATGGACATGTAGCATGTCTTTGCGCCAATCGGAGTTTGTTTCATGACGAAAAGGTTTTATCGATATCTTGCTGAAGGCCCATGGCTCAATCGAGTCTGCTCGCATCACAGAGTTTTATTGTTCCACCAAATGCTTGCGTGCGATCTGACTCAACTTTCGACTGCTTTCTGCTCAGGACTATCCTCCTTGCATGGCACATGACTCTCCATCCATGTTTCTGTGACGGTCCAATACAGCGCCCGATATGATTGCCAATATGATTAATGAGTACAAGTTTTTGAGTGGGCGTTATTCTACTAGAGGCCTGCTGCCGCCAACATCTTCGCGTAGTTGGGGGATCCGAGACCAGTGACAGGATCCCACCCAGACACAGCCTTAAAGCCGGCGTGGCCGCATCCCGGGTTGCTGCCGTGCGTGACATCGTTGAGCATGCTCGGGTTAGCGTACAGCCACGGGTTGAGGAATCCGAGCGGGGCGTTGCCAGCGGCGATCAGCTTGTCGTTGATGAGAGAGATGACCGAGGCGAAGATGGGTGATGAGCAGGAGGTTCCGTCGACACCTTCCAGAGACCCGCCAGAGTAGATCTGCACGTTCTCGCCCTGCGCAGAGACGTCTGGGTAGCCACGGCCCGAAGAGTTGAAAAGTCCAGAGTTGGTGCTGCCCTGTGCCTTCAAGAAGGCGGAGACGGCGGACGATTGGTAGCTGGGAGCTGGGAGAAGAGTGCATCAGTAATTGGAGGGCAACAACAAAATGAACGAGACGCACTGCCCCAGTAGTTGGAGAAACCGCCGCTGGAGAACGTCGAGGCGGTCTCGGGAGCAGAGCCAGTGACGGATCCGACGGCAGTGAGGTAGGGGCATCCGGCAGGGAACGCAGCCTGGTACTTGGAGCAGCTTTGGGACTGGCCACCCTCGACACCACCATCGCCAGACGCGAACAGAACGGAACTTCCGCGAGCGCCGAACGCAGCGTAGGCTGTGCAGAGTTTGCTGCGAAGGCTAGTAAGCGTTGGTCACGCGTGAAGGGATAGCCCGCTTACAAGGCAAGAGACTTGGACATGTCAGTCTCGTTCTCGCCGTACGAGGTGGTCATGACCTGCGGGACGGTGCTCTCCGACGAAAGGAAGTTGACGATGTCGAGGAAACCGCCCAGGTTTCCATCCTGGTAGTTGTCTCCCACCGACACGAACGAGATCGGAACGTCCGTGGCGATGCCAACAGTGTACTGGACGTCGAGGTTGGCCTCGATACCGGCCCTGCTAGCACCCTGGGGGTTGGAGCCACTGTCGAGCGTCTGCAGGGTGAAGGTCGTGGACGAGCTCATGTCGGTCCGGTACCTCGTCAGGAAGGACTTCAAGTCGGCCTTCTGCGCGTACTGGTCGATGAATCCAGCGACAGCGATGCTGTTGGAGGACTCCGTCGCCGGCGTCGAGGGAATGCCGTACTGGGTCCGCAGGCAAGCGGGGAAGACACTCGACGTGCAGGCCGCGGCCGCATCGGTCGAGACGTTGGCGTTGGGCTTCGGGGTCGAGAGGACAGGGGCCATGGGGACCGGGTTGTTGAATGTCGTGGCCGGGTGCAGGGTGAACACGTAGTCGGCGACCTCGGAGGGGACGGAGTACTCGAGCGTGCGCGGGTAGGTCTTGCCCGACTGGGTGTGCTGGAATGTCTCGTACTTGGCGTTCAGCAGCTCGTTGGCCTTCGAAACAGGCACTGCAACGGAGAGCCAGTCACCAGCGGTGGTCGAAGCGGTGGCCGTCAGGCCGTGCGCTGCAAGCCAGGCGTTGACGGCTGAAGAAGCCTCACTGGTCGGGGCAAGGAAAGCATCTACCTGTGAGAAATACCTGTGAGTCAAGAAAGATCCACCGAACGAGAAACGTACCTCAGACTTGGAGAGATGGTGACCGTAGTTGGAGCTAGTCGGGGTGCTGACGTCCAAGAGAGCAGCCTCGAGACCAGCAACGTTGCTGGAGGGAAGTCCAATGCGGATGTTCAAGACAGTGGAATCGTCAGCCGGACCGAGGCTAACGAAGCCCGCCGGTGCACTAGGCTTGGACTCCTGAACAATGAAGTTCTTGAAGGCCGGGCTGGCGACAGCGACAGAGATGAGGGAAACGAAGAAGAGGGAGAACTTGGCAGGCATCCTGTACGAAGTCGACTCGAGGTGAGCTGGAGAATTCATGCAGGACCTCCATGTTTATATAGCAGAACGTCGACGAGCAGGCTAATGCGAATGCACATGCTGCACCAAAAGAACCGCATGATCTTGCACACGGCAAAACCACTATCGTCGAAGACAACTGTTCGCAATGTCGTTGCGCTATCTTAAGCACAACCGGTGATTCCTCTTGTTCCGCAAGTCCGCCTTGCTTCCGATCAGCTCTGATCTCGAGACGACGAGTGATTCGGGTCTGGAACTGTGTGGGCTGATCGAGTCCAAAGTTCGCAACACACAATGCACACACCCGAGTGATCCTTCGACCTCGAGTATTCGTGATGCATATCCGTCGTTGCATGACCGAGCACGCTTCATGCCGTTCGAACGGATGCGACAGCCGTCACCACAGTATGAGATCACAGATTCGGGGCTGTGTGCCGCATGTCGCACCATGCGGATGCACAGAGCCGGAGCGCTTCTTCGCAGCAAGGGCGCGTGCGCAAAGAGCTTTTAGTTCGTCGAGTTGTCCGAAGGTCATGTCAGATTACGGTGGGCGTTGGTAATGAAAGCCGCCTTGAGCATGGTCCACATCACGTGTGCGGTGTGCGGTGTGCTGTCCGCCGTCGTGACTGTCAGACTCGATGTCACTGTGCCCCGAGAGATTCGGACTAGTGGCTTTGCCTGAACTGATGAGATCAAATCACGAAAAAGCATTATTCCCGAGATTCCAAGACCATACCAAGTCAATGCCAAGTCGAAACTTAAAAATAGCTTTCTAACGAGAGTCGACCTGAGTCACAGAGTAGCCGTAAAAGATGCGTACGGTCTAGTTGGTCGCATGGAGGGACGGAGTATGCAGACTCAAACATTATCCGGGACTCGTCGACCGTCGTTCTCAGTTCTCCCATCACCCAGGCCAAGTGTATAGACTACATGGTATTGATGTACATGACTCGCAATTGCAAGATGTTTGTATGGGTAAAGCCTGAGCTGAAGGATGAGTTGTCATCCATGTAACAGTACATAACACTTCGCAGAAAGATGAATACGCTCAAATCAGACTTCGTTTGATGTTCTTCGTGAGCCATTCCAGTCCTTCGTACATCCCCTCTCCAGACATGGCACAAGTCGCCTGCAGCAGACAAGCCGATGAGAATCCAGTACCCGGGTCACGGACAAGCGTCTCACCTGGATATACCATGTCCTGTGCCTCAGCCCCGACAGCCCCAACTTGTCGGCCATCTCAGCGGTCGACATCGCGTCCGGCATATCTTGCTTGTTGGCGTAAACCAGCAGAAGCGCATCACGCAGTTCGTCTTCGTTCATCATCTGGTGTAATTCCTCTCGGGCGATGGATATCCGGTCGCGGTCGCTGGAGTCAACCACGAAGATGATGGCCTGAGCGTTCTGGTAGTCTCGGATGGAGTTCAGCCGATCGTCTACAAGTATGGGATGAGCGAGCAACACACAATAGCGCCAGAGGTGGCGGATCTTGTCCTGGCCACCGATATCCCATACGTTGAGCGATACGTTCTTGTAGTCGAGGGTCTCGACATTGAAACCTTGGTATATGCATCAGCACGCTGAGGTCTTCCAGCAGCAGAATGCACAAACCGATGGTAGGGATGGATATCACGATCTCCCCGAGCTTCAGTTTGTACAAGATGGTGGTCTTCCCAGCACCGTCGAGCCCGAGCTGATCAACTTAGATAAACTGGAAGCTGGCAGATGGCGGCTTACCATCAGAAGTCCTGGGTGCAAGAGCCTTAGCCACAGTACGAATTGCAAAGAGATAGAACCAGGCACTCACGCATCTCCCGTTTTCCCAAGAGCCCATCAAAGAGACGAGAGAAAATGCCTGTGGCGATCCCCCAGACGGATTGTAGGAGTGACATTGAATTTGAATTTGAATTGGTGTGATGATATGAATTGGGCGACCCAGCTGGCGTGTTATATATGCGCTTGAAGCTCGACACGTACCGAGGCGCAGAGGCTAATACGTGGCGCGAGCGACAATGCAGCAAGTCAGTTGCAATGCCCATGCCATCTCCATCATATGACTCGCTGCAGCGCGCAGTAGTCCGCGCCCGGTCGTGACTCAGCGTGCATTGGCAGTTAGACAGGCCGCCAAACCCGAGAAAGTCGATGGATTGCTGTGACTTTCAGTGCTGCGCCATATCTTGAGAAGGGCGCGACGTGTTGAGCTGACGGGACATGACTGACGCTGTGGCAGGTATCGCAGGTGTCATCCGCGTCAGGAGTCGGAGGTGGCGATATAAGGTCAGCGATCAGCGCTCTCGAGGCCAGGGAGCGCATGGTAGAAGATTGTGGGCTAGCCCAAAGGCCATGGCATCTACGAATTTCGAATTGATGTGGGCGACTAGTAAACAGGGAGCTCGAGTGTGACTCGAGTGACAGTCCAATTTCCTGGTGATGGGACACTGCCGGATCATTGATTCAGTGGATGGATGGATTAACCGCATAGGTCCCTGTGCAGAACAGCGGGGCTCTGTACCTACATACACTAGCCTACAATGTATGTTACAGACAAGCTTGTGCAATAACTTCGTTGAATGGGTGTCGAATCGGAGATCTAATCAAAGGGGTCGGATTTCATACCCACTGTGGATATCACTCGATGCAGCTACCATTCATGCCAACTTTATCGTCAGGATATGCAGCGGATAACATCATTTTAATTGCACCTGCAGACTCTGCCTTCCATTTATTGGATTGATCACAATCTATCATGAGCCAGCTATACTCCCGGCTTTCTGCCCCCAGTCGCTTTGTACATCGCATGGAATCTTGTTGTCGAGTCGGCAAGCAGAGCAGCAGGACTGAGCAGAGATAAGGATGAGATAATATTTCACTAGAATACGAAACCACTTGCCTGTCGAATTCGACTATTTGCCCTGAATCAAGGACCATGATCTGCAAAAATAGAGCGCTGAACTCCAATGTGCATGTCCAGATATCAAATAACTTACCCGGTCATAGGTCAAGATTGTCGAAAGTCGATGGGCGATCGTCAAGACTGTGCTGGCCTTGAACGCCCTGTGGCTAGTAAAGCGACCGCGTTTTAGTGAGATATGATAGCGCACTCGTGGATAGTCGAGTTGATTAACTCATCCGTCGTATAGTCGATGCTCCAGAGATGGCGTTAAGTCATCGCAAAAAAAAACTGGTGTTATGCCGCATACCTAGCTGTAGCCTAGCAGACGTAAAAGTTGGCATCCTGAACAGCCGAATGCGGGGGAACGAACCTCATCCATGATCAGAATTCGACTATGCTTGAGGACGGCCCTTGCCATGCATATCAATTGCTTCTCCCTGTTCACGAATCGGAATTCAGAGACGCGCTCAGGTCTCGGAGATAGCAGACGAACCCCAAGGACAAATTGTCACCGCCTTCCGAGACAGGTGAATCAAGATTCCGGAAGACATTGATTTGTTCTCCGCCCATCTCTGGCTCAGAATCTTGGTTCGAGATTAGATGCACACGGCGGAGAGCGTCGAACTGAAAAGCATGAGCAGTATGCTGTCGAGAGAGGGAGTCGCATACGATCTCTGAATCCGTGTGCTCGCCAAACACATCCAGAGTAGACCTCAGAGTGCCGCTGAGTATCGTCGGATCCTCTATTGCCCGTGGTTCAAGTTGATTCGCTCGCAGATCACTGATGGGGTACGTCACTCACGCGGGATGATAGTCAAGCTGCGCCGAAGCTCGGTAAGACCAATCTTGCTGATGTCCAGCCCGTCGACGAAGATCGTGCCTTCGAAATGCGGGATGAATCGGAACAGACTGAGGGCAAGGGTGCTCTTGCCCGAGCCTGTGCGGCCCACAATCCCGATCTCCAGCCACGCTCAGCCCAATATGCGGACCTGAGATCTCATCAAGCTTACCTTCTCTCCGGGCTTGATGTCGAAATTCAAACCGTGCAGAACCGGAGGTGATTCGGGCTGTAAGCACTGAGGATCTACACTTACTCGGGTCATGATAGATAAATACGCACTCTGTAGCGGACAACCAGATTCTCGCATCGGATAGAGCCCTGCTGCGGCCACTTGGGCGGTGGAATGAGCTCGCAATCCGAAGAGACCTCTGGAGTCAGCTCGGAGTATTCTTTGATGCGCTCGAGCGAGACCAGATCCTGTTCGAGGCCCGAGTAGCGCATAGCCTCCGAAAAAGCATAAGTGAAAAATCAGATCCGGGGTGAATCAGCATCTACCATGTTTTGAAACTACGCTCGCGCGTGAGCCTCCGCGCCAGAGTCCAGATGTATTGCACTCACATCGTTGGTCACTTGTGTAGCGAAGAGGATCATAAACCCAGTCAACCCAGCATCGATGCGGGGAGAGAAGACAGCCATGATAGCTACAGCAAAAGTCAAGACGCCGGTAAGCGCATTGGAGCGCAGTCCCAGCCATTGACCCACTGATGAAACCAGTCCGCTGAGCTTGACGCGGTCACGTGATACAACACAAAACTCACTAGCGGCAGTCCAGTACAATGGGGCTGTGTTCTGTACGCGTTTGAGTTGAGGGAATATGCGTGGTTAGAGTGTCAGATGAACATACATTATCCAATATCTTGATCAAATTAGTCATAAATTGCGACGATGCACCAAACGCGCGCAGTGTGGTGATACCGGACACGGTCTCCCAGTAAACAGAATGAAGTGGGGAACTTGATATCGACGCTATAAAACGATTAGAAAAGTGTCATTCTCTGTAACCGCGAATAGGACTCTGACATAACCGCCGCATCTCTCTTGATGTCGACGCATACATCTTTCCGTCTGCGGCACTGCATCAGCATCGAAGGTCGAGCCAATCTCAAACGAGACTCACAGTGGAAGTACACAGCCCCTAAAAATAGAGAGACCGCGAAGAACACCCAGCCCCCGATCAAGGTCATCACACAGAAGGTGATCATGGCTGACACGAGAGCCATCACAGAATGACCCACAGTGACAGCTACCTGCTTATCGATAGCTTCGAGATCCTTGCCGAACCGGTTGAGGACGCGACCACGTGAGATGGTGTCGTGGAAGTGGATGGTGGTATTCAGAATCGAGTGGAGCAGATCTAAGTGCCATTCGGCTGCCTGTCCATGAGGTTGGCCGAGTACAGTACTCACCTTGAAAGATCGTACGAGACGCTTGAATTGAACCGGAATCTTGCCCAGGTTCAATGTTTTGAACTTAAAAACACAGAGACTCACAGAGCATGAACCATCTGAACGTCTTGACTGCCAGGCCTGTTTTAAGTAGAGTGAAAATAGTGAAACTTGTCTCTCCTGATCTGGAAAAGAAACATACCAGCGAGAGTCAATCCAGCATAAACCCCGACATAAAACATTGCTCCTCTGCTCTCTGTCGCGTCCGAGGCTGACCATGTTCTATTGAAATTCCTCAGCTTCTGTCCTTATCACCAGGGAAAAGCACACTTAAGCCACCCGTTTTCCAAGAGAGCACTGGCCCCTCCCATAAACAAAATGACCGCCAGGCCCATCCAATACCGATAACTTCCAGCTGCGCGCATGTAAGTCACCCAGATATCGCTGTCTATCACACCATGAGATCGGGACTCTTCTTCGACGTATTTACGAGCGGGTTTTCTCCGCGAAGGATCCGTGTCGTCTACGACTGTAGTTGCTGTTGCCACTGAGGCTCGATCAGGCTCTGTGTTGTCCCGTCCGTGTTCAGAAAGGTCAAATATCCCCATTTTCCTGCTGAACCCATCCGCGTCACCTTGAAACGCCACCTTCCCATCCTGGAGTGCAACGACCAGGGCTGCTCCTGGCGCACAGAGCTGCACGTGGTGCGACACAAGGATGACGGTCCGGTCTTGCATCAGCGGCCCTGTCAGACAGTGATGGTAGATGTGGTGCGCTGTATGGCTGTCCACTGCGGAGAGTACGTCGTCGAGAAGGAGAGTCGAAGCACAGCTGTACACTGCCCGAGCGAGCGACACTGAAAAAGTGTGAAGCGGCTTCTTTATTTCTAACGAAGACGTACCTCGGGCTTTCTGGCCGCCAGATAGATTGACCTTGGAAAAACGTGAGTTCTCCTCTCCAGTTCTATATAATTGTCTTCCGCCTACCCCGTGCTCTCCAATCTCGGACTCATCACCATCCTCGAGCACTTGCAGATCAGCAACCAAAGCACAGGCATGCAGAGTCGCACGATAACGGGCTTCGTCCAGTGGGAGATGGAACAGAATATTGTCTACAGAGCCGATCAGTGACTGCGCGCAAACTTGCCCGAAGTCTGGCACCTTTGATCGACTGGTTTCGCAGCCACGCAGTCTGTGGAACATAGGCAGTCACACCCGGAACCACCCAGCCCTCGGGATCAATCCGCCCGGAAAGCGATTCCAGAGAATTTGGATGCGAGCGCGGACAAGTCACCGTCCCCTCCACAATGTTTGCTTCACCCAAGAGTCCTGTCAATGGACGTGATCAGATCGGATTATCTGTCAATTCCGGATACTGGAACCCAGCCCCTCACCCAATAGCAACAGCGATTTGCCTGATCCGAATTTCCCACAAACAAGGCTTAGGCATCCAGGAGGAAAAGAGACCGTGACGTTCTTGAGGGTGAACTGCTCGTAATCCGAGCTCAGCACCGCCTTTGGCCAGGCAATTGTGGCAGCTTTGAGCTCGATTGAAGCAGAAATCCCGGAAACAACAGATGTCACTTCGGGACTGTCTAGATACTGAGACATGAAAGAGATCATCAGGCTAGCAAGATGACTTTCGACTGGGCTTACTCTTTGGATACGATTGAGGGAGACAGAAGCTTTGATGATGTTGATGATAGCGGCAGGAATTCCCTTGATCGCAAATTGGATCTCGGTGAATACTGTGCAATGAGGTTGGAATGAGCCCAAACACGCTTTCAAACTTACTCGAAAGCTGACAAGAATGGGTTATTGTGAGTCAGAGAATGTGATGGGGTAATTACAGCAGTAAAGGCGATGGCTGGGGTCAAATCCTGTCCTCTTATGACAGTGAAATGCCAGAATGAAGTGATCGCAAAAAGTATCGGGACGGAGTCACTGGATACAAAATGTTGAACCGATCATGTGTTCGAAGAATATGCTGATTGACAAACCCCATTGCTGTCCACAGCATCTTATTTGAAATATGCGAGAGCGCCAGCAGAGAGGAGCAGAAGACGCACCTCGATTGTGTATGTCAGCTTTTGGTATGCCAACTCTTTCATTCTGATCCGGAGAACCTTTTCCTCAAACCGTATTTCCCAAGCCATAAACTGACAATTGGGTCAATTGAAGTGCAAAAGTTCCAACTAGGCTGACCTTGAGCATACGAATAGCTCCGAGGATCTGCATGTGCTGTTAGCGCGTCCCACACCGGTTCCAATCCACGTACCTCGTTTGTTAGCGCAATCCGTTCATCCCGCGCATGCACCAAATTCCGTTGCGTTTGAGCCACGACAGATCCACTCACGTGGTGGAGAGGAAGGCAAATCAGAACCACAACGAGGCCGACAAGGGACGAAACGCCTGCGAACGGATTGGAGAGGCGTTGAGTCGAGAAGGGAAAGTGAGGCGCACCGAGAAGCCTATAGAGGAAGAATATACCCACCAGAATCTCTACGGGTGTGTCTACAGAGATTCAATCTCGTGAATCATAGTCTCATCAACAAGCTCGGAAAACTCACCCACGATGTCGTAAATCGCATCAGCCAAACCCACGACTTGCTCGACGTCACTGGACATGAGAGCGATGATATCCGCCTTTGAGTTGACGGCATCCTCGGAGGACTCTGCAGACACATTCTGCCTCAGCAGCGTCTTTGAGAACAGAAGCGTGTTCAGCTGAAGACGGAGTTTGATTTTGAGAACGTGGCCAACGAATTGCTGTTGCGACATGGCTGGAACGGATTTATGCCTCGGATCCACTGGCACGATATCCTGGACTCACCTAACGCGAGCGCAAAATGCGCTACACCCAGACCGCAGACCCATATCCAAGCTGCGCCTCTCTCGGACCGGCTCGTATCGTCTTCGAGATACTGGAGGAATCTGTTCAGGAAGAACGACGGCGCGTAGTAGACAAATGCCAGCCCAAACGAAAGCAGTCCCACACGGGTCACTGATGAGAGATTGACGCGCAACAGCTGGGAGATAATCGGATGTGCACCCGAGTGGGGAGCCGATAGATTCCAGGCTGTGCGAATGTTGGCCGGCAAGATCGGCAGGTCGTGGATCTCGAACGAGGGGAGATGACGCAGCGAGAAAATCTCCGTTGTGAACAGGAACAGCGCCGAGTTTAGGATGGACCCTGTCGCGTTTTCAGCGACGCGCCGCGTCCTCCCGTACGTCATGGGAGGAGATAGAGGAGTGGTGAGCGAGATCAAGCACAGAAGCGCATTCATCGCGAAGACCAGGCCGTGCGTCCAGTTCCTATGGGTGTATGTTGGCAGAAGTAGTTTCCGTCCACTGATCAAGCTCCCAACGAGAGTGAGGGCGGAGAGATGATACACGTAGGTTTCGTGTGCAGAAAAGAGGACGAGGAGGAGCATATAGATAGAGATCACCGCTGCAAGTGTCGGCTGCGCACCGGAGATTTCGAACACAAGGTTGGCTAGAAGGAGGCCGAGCACAACGTATTTCCTGTGTTCGAGCTGATGTGCATCATTCAGACAAGGGCTGGCTCCGGATGGGTAAGACCCACTCTTTTCAAGAACACGTCCTCTTCCCGGAGAGAGTAGCCGCTGTCTTCGAATCGACTCCAGTCTTCCACTCGAACGCGTCCCTGTCGAATACTGTTGGCCCAATTGATCGAAGCGATGGCAATGCTCAAGCCCATAGCGACAGCCAGGACTAGATTGGCCACTTCCATGGCGTGTAGAGAAAGTGGGGGGGAGGAGGGACAAATCTGGAAGGCTCCTCGCCGTCTTTCTTGAATACGCAGCGCTTCAGGTTCCGCTAATCAAGGTGTGTGCCAAAGTTTTCATCCGCATGTGCATCTGATGACTCGGAGGCAGGCACGAATAGATTGACATCATCCGTTGCTACTCCCGAAATCGTGTTCTGGATAGCATACAACTTACAGATCGCTTCATGCGTCGAGCTGGAATTTGTAATTCTCGACGCAGATGGGTTGCGCAGGGATCTCTTCACTCAAAAGATGAGCTGATGCAAGGTCGATTTCAATGAAAAAACACCGTGGAATTCAAGCCACGGTCCCGCGATGGATCAGTGGTCTCGGGTATTCTCAGCCAGAGTCAGAAATCAGGCGCCTCCGCAAAGGCTCTCGACCCCGATCAACCGAATGAGAAATCGCGGCGACAAAGCCTTACACGTGACCTAATGACGGAGCTTACGGCCTGATCCATGACGGATGATGACACGTATGCTGACACTCTCGGAATGTTCTCGATGACGCCTGACGGCCCAGGACGGCCCAGGATTATGCCATGCTGCGGTGGAGGCCCGGGTAGGTTTACAGATCGCAGCATATAAGTAGCTGTGCACTGGCTATGGAGGATCCATCCGTCCGCACTCCCGTCATAAACCAGAGCTCATTCCAGCCTACTGCCGCTCAACGATGTCGTCCTCCGTTGCCATCCCCTCCAAGCGCGCGCCCTCTCCCTCATCGGTAGCTTCCTCCCCCTCGAGTGTGTATGTTCCGGTCCACAAACGGACACCCTCTGTGGAACATGAGCGAACTCGTGAGCCGTGTTTTCTTTGCTGCATCTTACACCCGACTGACCGCGTGTTTCAGTGCCTGTGTACACAATCGCAGAACTCCTGCAGCTAGCCGAATCTCCTCTTTCCAAGGAGCGGACGGCTCCCATCCACGCCACACTGCACGCCGATGACGAACTCCACCTCATCTCCCTCACGAAGCGCAAGCAGCGGTCGCGGGAGTTCCTGGCACGTCAGGCAGAGGCCGATCGCCGGAGAGGAGAATCTGCATCTGCATCTGCTTCTGCATCCGCAGCAGTGCATACGCCTGGACCCTCAGGGGCTCAGCGCAGACGGCCCATCGGACGCGCAACGGAACGGAACGCGACGCGACGCGCGCCATTCGGCTCCGCGAAGAACCAGTTTGCTGTCGATCTTGCTACGAATTGGCGTGTCCCTTCAGCTGCTCCTCGGCGATTCGACTTTCCCAGTATACCCGTCGCACCGGTCGCTTGATCGCAGCGTTCATCATGACCCCATCGCATAACCATAGCATTGTAATCATAGCACAGATAGATACATCCACCCCTGGCATATATGTTCCATTCCACGAGCAAAGAAAAAACAATATGAGGCAACTGGAGAATTGGTTTGTGCTGGAGTGGGCATTACACACCGCTGTGAGAAATTAGGAATACGCTTCGCACCGCCACATCAAATGTCAAAGTACGCGACACTCCAAATTTTGAGTGACTGGTTACATCAAGTCCGACCCACCGCCCTTGCCAACATGATGGATCAGGCAATCTGGAGCGGAGCAACCCGATGGTGTGCTGCGTATCGGTCAATGTTGATCACTAAACCGTCGAACCCCTCGCACTTTCCCGCCTTGAGACGCCGGTGATGACGACACGCGACTGCGGAGTGCAGACATCGCGCGAAGATCTCTATCTATCCCCCGCATCCCGTTGCAAATCTGCGGCACGGCATCCATTCACACAGTCGTTGGCTATTTTAATACCAGCTATGCACTAAGACTCCACCTGCCACTTCTTCCTCCTACCTGCCTCTACTGAGAATCATCGCTATGGCAATGCACGGGACGGTCTCGCGTCGACGCTGTGTCGTGGGCTTGGTCGTCGCGGTGCGTGTTCTCCCGCTCATGGTTGTCGGGCCAGCTGAACCAAGCACGACTGTCCCTTATCCTAGATGACGCTGTTGTATTTCTTTCACGCAGCATTGCACGAATCCGAATACGACATCTCCACCTCGTTCGCGTGGACTCAGAGGCCGCAGCTATCGCCCGGGAAGCCATCGCCCGAGAAGCCACAGCTATTGCCCGACCAGCTGGAGCCCGGGAAGGACGACTTCTGTGCCGGTCGAATGCGGGAGAACGCGACGATGCTGATGCTTGCACGGAACAGCGACTTGAAAGGCGCGATCGGCAGCGTAGCTTTGGTCGAGGAGAGGTTCAATCGGCATTGCCACTATCCCTGGGTGTTCCTCAACGAGGAGCCATTCACGGAAGAGTTCCAAAAGTGCGTGCGGACACGATGTTCGCCGAATATCTCCCGTTGGCTTATGACTGCATCATCTAGGGCGATGCTCAGCACCACCAACAGTTCTGTCTCGTTCGGTGTAGTCCCCGAGGAGCACTGGTACCAGCCAGGCTGGATTGACGAGAGCGTTGCGCGCCAGGGGCGCGAGAAGATGGTCGAGCAGAACATCATCTACGGGGACAGCGTACCGTGCGTGTCTGCCGTTCATTTGCAGCATGCATCTCATTGTCCTTCTCGATCAGGTATCGCAACATGTGCAGGTGAGTCCACTCGATTCCCAGCCCGTTCATTCCACCGACCGTCGCGGAGGTTCAACTCTGGAGTGCGTGTTTTATCGATGATTAGCATCAGCGTATTCGGCTCTGACGCCGCCTCGACAGTTCTTTTTCAAGCAGCCCCTACTACAAAATTATCGCTACTACTGGAGGTGCGTGTTCGTCGGGCGTGTTGCTCGTCGTGCTAATCTATTCGCAGGGTCGAGTGGGTGTCCCTAACTTGCGTCTAGGCCGCAACGGCTGACATTGGCCCAGACCTGACATTGAATACACTTGCGACGTGGACTATGACCCCTTTCGTTACATGGTGGAGAACAACAAGACCTATGGTGAGGTTTATCGTGTTTCCCCAAATGCGTTCCGAAACTGATTACGACAGGCTTCACGATCTCGTTTTTTGAATGGGAGCCCACAATACCCACCCTCTGGTCCACCGTAAAAGGTTTAGTGCTCCCCGTTGAAACGCAGTCTAATCACTGACACAAACGCCCAGAATTTATGGCGCTGCACCCTGAATACATTGCCGATAACAACGCCATGTCGTTTCTCTCTGACGACGGGGGCGAGACCTACAATCTGTGCCACTTCTGGTCCAACTTCGAGATCGCCGACATGGACTTTTGGCGGGGCGAGGCCTACCAGGCGTTTTTCGACTTTCTCGAGAATAAAGGCGGGTTCTACTACGAGCGATGGGGCGATGCGCCGGTGCATTCGATCGCCATTGCGCTGTTTGCGCCCCGGGAAAGGATGCGCTTTTTCAGGGATATCGGCTATAAGCACGAGCCTTTCCAGCATTGTCCGCCGGCGGACGTGTACGTTGCGAAAAAGTGTACCTGCAATATCGCAGACGCTATTGGTGCGTGGTTATCCGAACACCACCCTCGTACTGATCCGAGTTGTGTGCAGACTACCGTTCTCAGTCTTGTATCCCAAGATTCCAGCGGCTGTTCCAGTGAATGTAACCCCACTGATCTGTATCCATATATCTATTTTATTACCACGGACTGGAGGTAGCACATGTACGATTATGTATCGAGAGCACCGGCAGATGCTCATCCACTAGAAGATGCGTGTTCTGGTATACAAGAAGGACACGTACATGGGACTATTATTACAGAATAACAATAACACGTGCGATACAGGATAGCAATCTGCAAAGCCATAGGGATGTCATAGCCCAGCTGCAGCCATCATCTTTGGAAAGTTGGGTGTTCCCAGCCCGGTGATGGGATCCCATCCAGGGCCGGCCGTGAATCCAGCATGACCGCACCCGGGGTTGCTTCCCTGCACGACATCGTTGAACATACCGGGGTTGGCGTACAGCCATGGATTTAGGAACCCAAGCGCGGGCTTTCCCGCCGCGATCAGCTTGTCGTTGATGAGAGAAATGACGGAGGCAAAGATGGGTGTGGAGCAGGACGTCCCGAATATGCCGTACTGCTGCCCGCCGGACACGAACACCACGTTCTCGCCTTGCGCGGATACGTCCGGGTAGCCCCGGCCCGACGCGTTGAAGAGTCCCGAGTTGATACTACCCTGGGCTTGCAGGAAAGCAGCAACAGCGGAGGATTGGTAGTCGGCCACTGACGATACGTGCATGTCAGTACAATGATCGTGCGAGATGGCATGTGAGAGAGACACGCACCACCCCAGTAGTTGGAGAAACCGCCGCTCGAAAAGTTGGACGCGACTTCCGGAGCAGAGCCCCTCACGGAGCCGACCGCAGTGAGATAGGGGCAGCCGTCCGGGAACGCGGCCCGGTACGTGGAGCACTTCTGAGCTTGGCCGCCCTCGACCCCGCCATCGCCTGACGCGAACAACACGGAGGTGCCTCGCGCGCCTAACCCAGCATAGGCAGCACAGAGCTTGCTGGACACACATGTTAGAGTCCGCGAAATACAACTGCATACGCCGCGGATACTCACAAGGCGAGGGCTTGAGCGATGCTGGTTTCATCGTCGCCGTACGAGGTTGTCATCACCTGAGGAACGTTGCTTTCTGAAGAAAGAAAGTTCACGATGTCGAGGAAACCGCCCAAGTTGCCGTCCTGATACTGGTCGCCAACGGACACAAACGCGACCGGAACACCCGTGGCGACACCGACGGTGTACTGCACATCCAGATTGGCTTCTATCCCGGCATATTGGGCGCCCTGGGGATTGATACCACCATCGAGAGTCTGTGTAATGAAGGAGGCCGAGGAGTTGATGTTGGGGCGGTAGGATTCGAGGAATGTTTTCAAGTCAGCCTTCTGCGCATACTGGCCAATGAACCCAGACACAGCAATGCTGTTGGTGGGCTGGGTCGCTGGCGTCGTCGGGATCCCATAGAGATTCTGGAGGCAAGTGGGAGTGACCCCACCCGAGCATATTCCAGCTGCAGAAGGATCCGAGTTGGGCAACGACATGGAGAGAACCGGACCCATGGCCACCGGATTGTTGAATGTGGCCGCTGGGTGCAGGGCTGCCACGAAATCGGCGACTTCGGAAGGCACAGAGAACCCCAAAGTCCGAGGATAGGTTCTTCCCGACTCGGTGTGCCGGTATGTCTCGTAGTTGGCATTCAGCAGCTCGTTGGCCTTGCTGACAGGCACAGCGACCGAGAGCCAGTCTCCGGCGCTGTTAAACGTGGTGGTCAAGTTGTGCGCAGCTAGCCACGACTGGACGGCCGACGAGGCCTCTTCTGTCGGCGCGAGAAATGCGTCGACCTGTAGCAAAGTCGATCAACAAGCCAATCAATGGACACAAGACAGCAGGCGGCACCTCTTGCTTGGAAAGGTATTGGCCATAGTGAGGACTGCTAGGTGTGCTCACATCCCGCAACGCAGCTTCAAGACCGGCGACGTCACCGGAAGGAAGGGCGATCCGCAGATTCAGCATCGTAGAAGCATCGGCAGGACCGAGGCTGACAAATCCTGCTGGTGGGCCTGGATTGGACTCTCGAACGACGAAGTTACGAAAGGCAGGGCGAGAAACAGCGACGGAAAAGAGCGAGGCGAAAACGAGAAGCGCGGTGGGCATGGATGGAATCGGCGGGTTGGAGAGATGAGCCCCCAAGGCCGAGCCGTTTATATGCATGCAGGATCATCCAATATCCCGTCAAGCGCACCGTCCACAGTGGGTGAGAGTATGCTGCGCAAGAGATCACCATTGCCGCTACGATCTCGTCGCGATCAGCGCACAACAGGAGCCGGAGCGGGGGGTAGTGCCCCTGACCCCATGCAGTGCCCCACTGCACACAAAATGTACGCGCAAGTCTTGTGAAGCTATGCGAATAGAGGCTAAATTGTCATACAACACTCGGGCTAGGCGCCAGGCACTTACCAAGCCGATCGGACTGGAGTTGGGCCACATTGAACCGGAGAATGCAACCCTGAAAATCATCAAGAATGTCGTGAATTCGAGTCGACTGGTGACGCGTATCTTGAATGCGGGAGCCAAGAGATCTGATTTCGCGCCGGGCAGTGCATTTTGCACCAAGCGCTGTTGCGGTCGGAGCATGGTTCATCATCATAGTCCAGTGAGATTCTGACCATGACCAGTAACTGACTGAGCAGTGAGCACAGCAAGGCTGATGTAACGGCAATGTTAAAGCACCGCCACTAATCCCGCGGGGCTTGGCGCATATCAATCCAATTTTTTTTTTTTTTTTGCGGCACGTTTGGAATAACACCTTGAGACCGACATAGGTCCATCTCAAGAATGTCCGTGAATTGTGTGACGTAGGAACCAGGACCTCGTCGGCAGTCTGCAAGGTAGGAATGCATTTACGCACGAACGGCAAACGCCGAACAGTGTGGGACTCGATCACCTCGTGATAATACCCACTAAACCTCCTGAAAATACGAGACTTTCATTGGGGATTGAACTCCTGCTTTCACAGGACCCAACGACTTCTGTTTCACACGGAAGCCAGGACCGATGGTGCCGTTAGACCAGGGCGGCCCTCATATCAATCCAATTGAATCGGCGAATGGTGCTCCAAGCTGCATACGTTTGAAAGTGAATGGACTGGTATGAGTACAGCGACTGTGGTAAATTCTGAGTGTAGCTCCCAGGTGCGGACATTGATGTCGACAGGCTCCCGCATTCTGAAACTTGGAGCCGAGTGCTGACTCCTCGCCAAGTTCCAACACGGTTGCGTTCAGCATCCTCACGAGATTCGGAAGTGAGCCCTGCATGACGCTTCAAAAGCGCGGGCCGGGGAGCTTCTTCCTGGGAGCGGGGAAGAACGCACATGAAATCAGATGGTCGTTTACAGATCATGTATTGTATGTTGGCACAGCTCTTGCATTGACTCGAAAGATTTCAGTAGAGGTGTAACACGGCCTATAGCGGTTTATGTTGTGAAGAGGAGAACAAGGAGATGGGCACTGTCCAGGTGATGATCAGCAAGGCAAAGATCCCCATCCAGCTCTCTGCAAAATCCACGATTGTCCAGTTCTTAGAGAAAGACTTGTAGGATAGTCACGCTCAGTCCGCAATGAATGTTACTGATATGTCTCCGTGAATGGTGGGCTGAGTTAGGTCGAGGCCGAGAAGCTTCGGAAGGATGAGAGCGCGTTCGAAACGTCGGTGGGCGACAGTAACCCAGTAGATGGATAGAGGATTTGCGTAGGCAAGACGTGCCGGGGAAGCTGGTATTCGAATGGAGGGCACCATACTCAGGGCAGAAGCATTCAGGTAAGTCGTAAGACAGAATTCCACTGTAACATGGCTAGAGTTAAGTAGACAGCTAGACTCGCAAAGTGTGATTGATCACTCCGAGTGGCCCGTCACGTTTTCGGAAGCAGACGGGCCGAAATGTTCCGAGATCCTCCCCTCACTGCTATGACATTCTTACCGCAGCGCATCATATGCATTCTATTCATAGCCACCACCATGAACCCTTCAGTCTTACAACAAGCATGCGTGTTTTCGGTTTCGCCGTGTCGGGAAAGGATTGAAGCCAGGTTATCGTCCAGGCTGCGGCCCGGGCGCTGCTGTCGCGCACTTCGCTAATACGAATAGATGTGTGGTCCAAACCTCGACCCTCCTGGCTTCCGACCATGAAAGATGTGCCACTCATGCCTGCCTTGCGTCCGAACTCGCGGTGGAATTTGGGCTGTGTGTCCGATGGCTCTTGTTTTTGTTTCGAAGTGGTACTTGGCCACGGTGGACGCTTTCTTGTCGTCTTGTAGGCTTCTCCGCTCTGCATTCCTCGAGAAACAACATGTATTGGCGCAAACAGGAACATATCACGATGTGGAGTACATCTCAGACCTGCATGCCCCGGCCATTCCTCTGCAGGCCAAGGGGCTGAATCCAATCTCAGACATAGTTCCGCCCCGCTTGCCTATTAAACAAGGAAGGGCCATGAATGCCCTCGCTAGCACTCCAGATGGCACCTATCGTCGATGAATACAATCCGAACCGATTCCCTTCGATCACCCGCATCTACCACGTTCCATTTGCCAGCAATGGACCTGCCTCTACTGCGCCGTCAGCCACGGCTGGAGCCTCACAGAGCCGAGCTGTGACCGCCTTCGAGATTGTTCTCGTGATCCTCGTACTGGCACCTTTGATGGGCCTTTTCCTAGCGAGCTTGTGCCTGTGTCTCCGCCGTCGGAGAGCACGGGTAGCCAGCTCGCCGCAGGGAGGGAAATCGGACCTTGCCTCCCGTGTCGATGTCGTCAGGCTTGGAGCAGATAAGACGACGTTCAAGATACCCGAGACATGGGACAATCCTTCGGTGAGCAGGACCTCCGATTCGGGTGATTTGAGCCGTTCGCTGACTTGCTTCAGCTCAAATCGTCGTACAGCATTGGGCACAAGACGAACGTCACCCTTCTAAAGGAGATGCCCAGAGTCTGGAACGTTATCGGCCGGCAAAACGTCGCAAAAGAGGACGCCGAGTCGGACAGGGAAACCAAAAGATTCCCGAAGACGCTTGCGATGACGTAACCTCCAGGAAAGGCATCCCCGAAGTTGTAGTGTTTGGGATCTTTGTTCATCTTTGCTCTTGATTCATTCTTGGGTCGTTTCAGGTACCTATCAACAAGGACTGTGCACAAGCATCTTGTCGTAGAGTGGGGCAAACTTTGTGAAAGCATCCTCTGCCCTGTGAAAGCAGTAAACACTGCTGTGGCCATGTCGATTTCGGGTGGACATGGCTTCTCCGAAACCGAGTCAGACGAAGTCGGGCAGAGAATGTGTTGTGCACAGGAGTACTGATAGGCCACTGACATGGACCCACGTGTATTCTTAGGAATGGAAGATATATCTGTTTCTACATTGTTTCAGCAGGTTTCACCCCGAATTATCATGAAACGGCTGTTGTCAATAGGCCGTGGAACTGACGACTGGAATAAGTCTGAAACATATGGTGAACTGTTGACGCCTCCAACGACACTCGCAGTCCCTTATGCTTCAAAGGGAAGTTGGAATGGTGTGTGGCAGGGAGAGGGCACGGTCTGGAGTCAGACGCCGTCAACCATCATCATCAGAGTTGATTATCGCCCCAAGGAGAACAGGACACGTTTCGCAGCGAGCCAGATTGATTACCATGACGTGCCCGGCCACCCTGTGTGGGAGGTTTCGAGTCAATTATGCCGAGGAAACACATCAATAAGGAGACCCACACATGTCCCGCCGACATTGCTGTAAAGCCTTTCAATTGAGATGCAAGCGAGGCGCTGAGAACCGTCACCAGCCGCATACCCATCTGGGTTCCGCGAACCTGCCAAATGCGGGAGAAGAGAGAGCGGACTGTGCGCACAGTGGCCTCTCCGTCGCGTCATTCCAAAAAAGGAAGGCGCAGAAGCTGTTGTCCCTTGCGCGTATTACTTAAATCACAGACGTGCTGAGACAATGCTGTTGCCAAAGAATGTCGACCCCAACTATCCACGCCTTGCTGCGATACCAGCACCACAAGGAACAGGGGGGCCAATGCTGTGCCTTGCTCTGGGACATGCACAATCCGCCCCACACCGCATCACACATCTCCGCCCCCGACCGCCCGCTGTCGGCATTCGACCTCGCGCAACACGCGACCAGCCCGCCCGTCACCCTGCTCCGCATCACGTGTGGGATCTACCCCGAGTCGGCCTGGGTCTCGGAAGCGCGCAACTGGCTCGGCGTCACGGTGCAGAACGTGTTGGACGCGATCTACGACGTGCTCTGCACGCAGATAGAGTGGGCCGAGTGGATGAGGCTATGCACCAAGCAGCAAGACCGAGTCAATGTCGTCTTCGACACGCGATGGCGGAGCAGTCCGCTGCCGGATCAAATCAGAGCCCGCGGAGTGTTACGCATCGACACCCTCCTCCAGCACATCCGATTCGGGGGCCTCTCGATGTCGTTGGACGAGGAGAGCACATGCTTGATGTCGCTGAGACGGCCAAAGCGGTGACGAAGAACAAATCAGCTTCGTTCAAGAGCACAGGTAGAAAGTACATGAAGGCATAGGCTACCAAGCAGCCTGTAGGTCAGTGCGATTTCCAAGGAACATCGCAGTGTCCAATGCAGCAGTCCAGGTCGTCGTCAGACGCAACGGGCATGGCAATGACAACCGTGATGCACAGCCGGTCTGGCGCCGCCGACTGCATCGCATGCTTCTCGTGGTCCTGGCGGACCCCCGCAACCGTGCGAAGAAAGAATGAGGTTTCGGGGTTGGAAGGCGGGATGGACATCCTATGCGTAGTTGCCACCACAGACAAAGGCTATGCATGTTGTGATACCCGCGACCAGAATATGAGCATATATGCGCGAACCTGTATAGCATCCCACCGCATAGCCCATGTCCCAGTTCCGCTCCACCGCGTCCTCTCTGCTATCGGGACATCAAAGAGGCGCGGCTTCATGATGACTGGGGCGCCGATTGGATCCGGTGCGTTCGTCCAGCGGTTGCAGACAATAAACACTCGCTGAACTAACCAGAGACCCAGATATGTCGCAAAGAACGCCAAAACCAGGAATAAGACGACAAGTGGGGCTGAGTTGATCAATGGGCCCTTGCTCGTGCTCTTAGCAGCATCGCTGCTCGCAGTAGAGGACGGTGAAGGCAAAGGCGTGTGGGTGAGTGTCTGGAGAGCCATGGGCTGAGACGAGGAGTCCGATCGTGTGCATGACAGATAGCGCACGCGACCCGTGAGCCTGAGGTCGAGACGGCTGTTTCAGGAAGCGAAGAAGCACTGTCGGTGTCACTGCCACGTGAGTGCATGACGCGATCACGTGACACTAATGAGGTTCGCTCCGAATTTTGAAAATCTCGCGGCCTGGTTAGAACAGTTGGAATTTTAGAGCCCTAGATACTTGAGAGGAAGGTTTATCACATTTTTAGCTGTATCAAGACTCTTTTCAGCTCATATTCCCTGCCTTACCACAATCAAGCTCAAGTCCACTGCTTGACTGAAGTAAGATGTCTCATTTCGTCATTGATTATATCAAACAGTATGATCAACTCAGCCATCTAGTTCTACGGATCATGTAAACTCCCCCAAGTGAATCGAGTACCCTTCCTAATTCCCTGAGACGTCCCTGAAGATAGACCGGGTCATGTGTGACAGGGCTGCGCGGGATTCCCACTGCAGATAGATAAGCATACAGCCGAAAGATTTCAAAGGGGAAAAATCGCTTACGAGCGGGTAGAAGATCACCACGAACGCGGCCGCAAATGTCCAGAGGAAGGCGAGCACGATGTAAAACGTGAACCCAGACTGAACAAAATAGATTGAGTATAGAATACTCGAGAGAAAGAATATCGGTACATACTTTGGACCAGATTCGCGGGATGACCATCAAAGCAGGGCTAAATGGCGTTTATCAATCGAGCTGCCTGTGACCAGGCATTCGGAATGTTTTAACTTACACTACGACGCAGAGCCTACAAAGGGCGTCAGATGATGAGCCAAAATTGAGCAAAGCCTGGCACTCACATAACAAAGATCCCGATCGTCAGCCAGACAGAAAGCAAGAAGTCCTGGTACAGTTTCTCGTCGGAGTCATCCTCGGCTTTGACGGATCCCTTCTCGAGAACAGCCTCTGAGACGGCTGCCTTGGCATCGACTGTCCCTTTGACCTCTTCCCCTTCCTCCGAGACGTCTCCGCCGACACTTTCTTGCGCGGCAGCTGCGACGGCGTCCTCGGCTCGGAACGCATTCATCCTCCGCGTGATCTCAAAGTCGAAGTTGTCAGGAAACAGGAACGTCGTGCTCATAGAGATGATGGCCGCGATGAAGAACGACGCGGCATTGCCCGCGAGCTGTTCGTAGACTCCGCCGGTTGTGACGACGTCCACTGTTCCCTGTGTTGCGTCGATCAGGAGATATACGGAAAGCTGAGTCCTGGATGACGGACCCCGTGACCTTTAGCGGTGGCTAGCCACGCGGCCACTCCGCAAAAAAATCCGATCCAGAGGCCAGCGAGACAGCCGTACTTGTTGGCCTTGCGTGATCGAATCGCAAGGCCAACAGGGAAAACCCCAGATGAGGCGAAGATCCCGGTGAAACCATCTATGTAAAAATGGCACGGTCAATCTCAACTCATAAGCAGGATGGTCGGGACTTACACAGCCAAGAAAGAGAAATACCGATCTCGTAGAATACGACGCCGAGAATACCCATGAACAACCCAAATCCAACGACACCGGCATGTGAAACCCAGAGGATCTGCTTGTCGGTGGCATGTGGATTGAAGTAGCGCTTGTAGACATCGTACGTCAGGATAGACGAAACTGCCACCAGCTCAGCGGATGCCTTGTTTGTGTAATAATTGTCAACGCGCGTAAGAAAGTAGATGGAATTGATCTAGCACTTACGGCTGATGTGACGGCCAGGAAGAGGGCAATCAACAGAAGCACGGCACCAGATCTGCCTAACAAGGCAGTCATCGCGGCGGGTGCCACTCCGCCCGCCCCAGCCAGTGGAATGGGAAGGAAAGGAGAGGCGGGATCGGCCGAAAGGGAGATCATTCCGAGACCGGCAGCCGTGGCAAACATCCAAGGCACTTGGAAGTTATGAGGTGAAGGTGTTTTCTTTAGAGCGAGAGAGCGAACCTGGAAGGAAAGCAAAGCCTCCGAGGATATATCCTTTGACAGAGGTGGAGGCCTTCGAGGCTACCGCGCGTTGCCTGATAGAAGTGAGGTTCGAAAGCGTGTATGGGCGATTGGGCCAGAAGAATCACCAGTATGTTTGATCCATGTAGACCTGTTCCGTAAAGAATAAGTTCCCCTCGACGAGGAAAGTTCACGAGACAAACCGTAGCAAATCTAGCGACACGGGTAAGGAAAATCAACATCGCAGACGAAGACTCACCCAGAAACGATGACGACGACACCAAACACGAATCCATTCAACGAGCGCATCGTCGTGTAGGACCCACCCGCCGCATTCGCGACGGGATAGTTCGTGGCTGCTGTCTGAAGAAGCTCCCACACCTTGGCAGGCGAGCCTAGATACGCGTTGGTCGCAAATGTGGAGAACGAGACCGCGAAGATGATGGCGAATATCAGCACCGTGTGGATATAGTCCGAGAAAAAAGCTGTTCGGTCGTTACGTGAATAATTGTGGAAACAGAGAGGTCAGTGAAGGCTTACTGGCTCTCAATCCTCCGACCAGTGTATAGATGACAACCCCAATCGGGATCAGGAAACAGGCTGCGATCGTGTTCATCCCAGTCAAATGGTTGACGGTGTCAGCTCCGCCCGTGATCAATTGCGAGGTCAGACTAGAAGTCGCATTCAAGAACAAAATATTGCGAAACAAACGAAATGGACACACATGATGTCTGAATAGTAGATCGTTTGTTGAGAAATTTCAGTGGGCGAGATACAGACACGCACTGGTTCCGAGCCCAAAGAACATGAAACTCAAATGACAAACTGTTCCCCATCTGCGAAGAGATTTGGTCGGTATTAAACATAGCACAGAATCCTGACGCTCACCGAAGACCGATCACTTCCAGGAACGTGTGCGCGCCGGGGGCATTTCGCTAAAACAGGTGAGCGCTGCTACAGGGAATTTATGTACAGTGCGTATACACCTTCAGCTGTATAGCATTCTGAGCGAAAGCCATCTTTGCGAGGAAACCAATGTTAGCGTGTTGTCCAGATACCGTGTAGCAAATGTCTGCTTACGATCTGAGTCGACGAGCCCGCGGCATACCACCAAGGGCCGCTGAGTCCATACACCAGACACACTGTCGACGCTTGGAGCAACGTCGCGGCCCAGGTAGCTTTCTCGCTCGTTCATCCTCCATATCGGCTTCGCACTGTGCACTCACCTGCAGAAACAATGCCGGACGCGATGAGGCCCGGCTTGAGCGATCGGCTGGCCGAAGTATACTCTTCCGAGCTGGACGAGGAGACCCCGGAGTAGCGGGCCGAGAGTTTGGTTATGGCTAGCATGAGCACGGCGAATCCGAGTCCCATCCCGAGGACGATAGCGTAGCCGACCCCGGACGAGAGAACGGGTGCGCTGGCGTCGATCTGGACTGTGGCCATCGTTGCAGATTGAGAGCGGGAGCGGGACTGGTCGGCGCCTCCTCTTGCTGGACGCGCTCACGGCCGTTCTAGATAGGCTAAGGTCGATCTCGGCCGCGTGCGAATGGCCTAAGCGTCAGATAAGAAGATACACACACATCAAAACAGCACTAAGCTCGTATCTTATCAGTCTTATCGGGCTGATGTTCGTTTGGCTTGCGCGCCCAGCTCGGTCTCGGGTGGCTCGGGCACATGGAAATAATTCGCATCTTGACCTAGTTTGACTTTCCACTTGGCTGACTCGGGGAATAATTGATGAGTCCTGCTCAGAGCTTCCTAGCTAGGGTGCAGATTCGGAAGACTTTGTCCCAAGCCTGTTCAAATTGTCAGGGGTGATTCCATGACACAAATACCCGATTCGACAGTTTTTTTAAGCCCGGCGGGGACCAGCACAAAAACCGTTTTGGGTGCACAGGGGGCTTTGAGTCGTGAGCCTGAGTTCGAACTTGGATTCAGTATACACAAGTTACAGATCCCGATAGAGTCACAGTTACAGATTTTCAAGCACAAACTTGAAAGTCCATCGAACTGCTGACTGGGATCACGGCCCGGGACACGGCCACTGATCCGGGTCGCCATTTGCCTTTTGTCGCCATGTTCCCCGTCTTCGGAGCTCACTCGAGCCGACGGCGGTGGCCTCTGAAGCTGATCATCGGTATATGTACCCTCCTCTCGCTCGTTTTTCTCATCGGAATCTACACCTGGGAGAACCGACAGCCGTCACGTGGAGAAGCAGTGCCGTTTGCAGATCAATTGCCCGGAGTTGCAGTTGGATCAACCACCGTGACGGCGGAGGCAGATCGACTCCAACCCAGTGTCGTCTCCGAGCCACCACATACCACGAGCGCCCGTTCAGAGCCTCCCGGGCCCCGCCCCAGTCCGTCCGCGGCCGCATATGCATCCGCGCTGGGGCAATCCACCCGCGCCTCCGCGCCAGACGTGGCACGCTGGGCGCCTCTGAGCCTATCTGCCTGCCTCCCGGGGATGGCCAACGTCTCAGCCCCGTGCTATGCGCAGGCCTCGCTCCCGCATGCAGTCTACGCGGAGGAGCTGCTGTACCCGGATTTCCAGATCCGCGAGCCGTGGTTCGCGCAGGAGGTGCACCGGGACAGATGGCTTGCGGCGCTCGAGAAGGACGCTGAATTCAGGCAGCGGGCGGCGTTCGAGGTCGATGGATGGGTGAGCTATAGAGGCCAGGTTGGCCAGAATTTTGTGCGTCGCGCCCCACTCTTTTTTTGCGTGAATGACTTTATTTATCGAATCGATCAATAGATATTCAAAAACGCTGTGTATGAGACAGGTGCTCAAGCCGTTACCGGCTGGAGCTCCAAGGCCTGTATGTCCCGGGGTGTATTAACATCTCCGATCCTGTCGCCCGAGGATTGGTCCATTCTCTCGACTATTCCGCGCACGAGACCCGGCAGGCCGCCCATAACCGAACCAAGGAAGATTCTAGGACATTATCCGGTGCTTTCTATCGTGCTCACCCCTGACGCATCGACCTTCCAGCACTTTCTGGACCGTGCGACACATGTTATAGCCCAAGGCGAATATCTGCTCGACGGGCCTGCCGAGGAGAGATATGTCTTGACGGCCAGACCAAATCCCTATAGCGTTCAGGAGCTCTGGACTCGACTTGGCTATCCCTCTGGCCAGATCGTCGGAGCGTCCAAGAACTCGTATTATGCCGCTGATGTAATGGCGTTCTCTTGCCGGGCAGTTCTGGTTCATCCGTGGCTGACTTTGAGGACACGCGAGTTGCTGAAAGTTCACAATGCGACAACATCAAACATCCGAAACAAGGCAAGTTTTTGTTTTTTGGGATTCGTGGATAGGGCCAACCTGTGTGTTAGATTGTGTACATGTCGAGAGAGACAGGACACACATCGAATCGCGGTCGCCATGTCATCAACGAAGAGGCTGTTCTAAAATACCTCACAAATTATCTCGCTACCCGAAACAGGGGAGAAGAACTGGTTGTTTTCGACCACGACTCGTTCAGCTATTTCTCCGAGCTGATAGACTGGGTCTCGAAGAACGCGCTCGCCATCGTGGGGCCCCACGGCGGTGCCATGTTCAACCACCGCTGGTGAGTGTGTGGATCTCTCGTCATTTATCTCATCATTCATCACGAGCGACGTTAAAAGGGCAGCTCAAGACACGCTCGTGGTCGAATTCATCCCCGACAAACATGTTCCGGCTATGATCTGGGAGGAAGTATCCATGCTCTCGCAAACATACGCTGCCATCGTCGTCAAGTCGGTGAGACAAGGCCGGGGCCCAGAAACAGACATGGTCATCGATCCCCGGGACGTGGAAGATCTGTTGGCGCGTTTTCTGGACGGCCGCGAGAACAGGAGTCTTCCCCTGAGAAAACCAATTTATCCGTGGGATGGAATGGAGGTGCGGAAACCTGGAGCTTAGAGGACGATTAAACATGCTAGAGCTCTGGATCGGCCAGGAGCTATAAGAGACGTGGCCATCGAGCGCGATATGAGCTCAACACACCGAGAAAGCATCATTCATCCCCGAGGTGGCATGTCTCATTGCCGAAAGGAAATAGGAGGAAGTCAGAGGGGACTCAAAAGCAGTGCCTTTTATTTTGAGTTCTTATATACGGATATCCTATCATTTTGAAGAAACCCTAGGCGCGGGTGTGGTCGGTGAAGAATCTAAAGCGCGGGCTACGGCATAGTTAAGGCCCGATGAATGTACAACGACCAAGACCTGGTGATGAAATTTGACTTGCGCATTATCAGCGTTCCGTGAACGATTACTCCGCTGGGCACCGTGAGTAAGTCGCGTTCCAGTCCGAAAGTGATTAAGATTGAGAACACTGGGTTGTGGTCACAGTCATATGATCCGTGACGACACGCGTGGGAGTCGCAATGAAGTCACACGAGAAATCATCTTCAGCTCCTCCGTCCGATAGTCAATCACGCACACACATGAACCGGGTCACAATGAACCCCTATCATTTCCGCAGCACGCATGCAAGCATAGCAATGCCCTTCATCTATTCCCCGACAAGCGCTGGGAGTTGGCCACTCGGATGACCGCCCTCGACTCGGATAGCCTGACCGGCCTCCCCGCGCTTGCCGCTGCAAAACCATTCGTGAAGGGATACGCTACCTACTTGGGTCATCTGGCAAAAACGGATCCGAGACTAACTCATGCATGCTTTGATGTCGGAGAAGTGATGCGATTCGACGGGCGTGCATAATACATATCTTCCTCCCGTTGGTGTCTTCATTCGAACACCAGGCGGTTGTCCTCGATGCAGCTCATTATCTACATCACATTCTACTGCTAGTCCCTCAAGGGTGGCACTGGAATTGCTTCGCTAAGGTACGTGCCATGCATTTACTAGCGGTGATTCATTGCTGACCCTCCGAGATAGCCGTCGTCTTCCTCGCAGCAATCGGGGGCACACAAGCAGGGTGGGCGTTCCACGTTCGTAAGATCAACACGCACAAGCGCGTGACCATGCTCGACCGAGCGTATTCTTCCAACCTTCGACCAGCCAATCAAGGGAATGGTTGACGGCATGAGATTGAAAGCAATGTACAGTTAGTTGACCTATTTATACCCAACGTATCTAAGCATAAGTACACATCCAGATATACAGCGTCCATGGAGTTCTGAATCTACGTCTTTCACAGATGGCTCTGCGCCTGACTAGGCTCCGCCTCGACCAGACCCAGCATGTGATCCACGATCTCCTGGGGCGTGGTCACATGCCAGCTCGCCAGGGTCCGCTTGCTGCTGGCGCCGACTGCAGTCGTGAACACGCAATCGGGAGAAATGGCCAGCTCTACGGGAGAAGCATTGGCGAATTGGGGCTCCACAAGCGTCACCGACAGCGGAGCTTCCATCGAGGCTTTCACAGAACCAGTGCTGAACAGTATCAATGCACGGAACATATCCTCGTCGGTCTTAGTGGAATGTCAGTACGCAGCAGCAAGCAAACGGAGAACACCGTACCTTGTCATCGCCAGCACAGAAGATGAACTCGGCGTCTGGGTTCTTGTACAGCAACCGTTTGACGATCTCGCCCTTGTTAACTGCAATGGGTCTGACCTCCAGATTCTTCTTCCCGACGAGGACTGGACAGACGTAAGTACACCGGCACAAGCTCGACAAGATAACAAACCTTCTATAGGTCGCTTATGCGCCAAGTTGTTTTCCAGCAGATCCTGGCACTGTCGGCATTGGAACTGACTGTAGAACATTGTCAGAACACATCCAGTTGCGCCAACACAGGACAACTGACCCCCATTCCGGATCACTTGCCCGGTAATGCCACGTAATAGAGCTTTTCTTCATCTCGATATGACTGCCAGTCGTCCGCTGCGACTCGTCAATGTGTGATTCCAACGAAGAGACATCCGACGACGCGCACCTCGGTGTAATACCGGAAGATCTCCTCGACTTCGCCCATCCAGCTCATATCCAGCTGTTCCGTGAAATTCGTCCACGGCTTGCCCTCGCCCGGTTCGCGCACAAATCCACCGTGCTCAGCCGAAAACCCGACCAACGGCAGATGACCCAGATGCTGCTCCAAGAAGGCACCATCCCTTCCGGAGATAATGTAGACCACGTTGCGCGGATCTTGAGACAGCTTCTCCAAAGCCTGAAGCGTCGGGCCCGATGGTACCGCCATGCTCGGGACCTTGACGATCGGGGCAAGCGTTCCCTGGAAAAGACCAGACGGCGTCACAAACACCGCAGCAACCAGTAGAGACGTAGACCCACATCGTAGTCAAAGAAGAACAGCCGCTTCTTCGCGGCGTGGTACTTGCTTTCAAGCACGTCTTTCGGAATATAGGGGGTCTGGCGAGCAGTCTCCAGCCCACCGAGCTGGCCAAGCAGTATCTTGGCAAGGACTGCAGCCCATGTGTGTGAGGTGTGGGTCGTGACCACTTTGTGCAATGCGGTGTGCCGTTCGAGCTTTTCGGGCTCGGTCATGAGCAGTCCCTGATTGATGGCAACTGCCACATCCTTGCAACGACATGAGCGACAGTCAATCAAAGACGGAATGCGCACCCCGAGATTCCATGGGTTGACCATCAAAGCCTGCTCCATGTGCTTGCTGATGCCCATGAACTCGCTCAGGACGACCGGGCTCTTTTTCGTTCGGCTCTGCGCAACCACAAACTCCATCGAGGTGGTGTTCATCCCGTCTCGCAGAGGCGTGATCACAGCAAGATCTGCAACACTAAGCAACGCGTAAAACTCGTCCTTTTTGAGCGTTTGGTGGCTAGAAGTGGCAGCCTCAGCACAGAACAGACAACAAACAAAGATGCTCACTAGTGATGCACCGGAATGAAATCCAAACTTCCGAACTCGCCGTTGATGCTGGCCACGATTTCGCTTATCTGCCGCTCCAGTTTCGGCGAATCCGTCAAGGAGGGGGATGTGACCTGTATGAGGACGACGTTGCCAACCCATTCAGGGTAGTCCTGTAACAACTTTCGGAACGCTTTGAGCTAGGGAACACGCGTCAGCCGTTTCTGGTAATCGGAGCATCCTCCGCCTACCTTTTGCAGAACGCCCTGGACCACATCAAGCTTATCCCGCCCGACGATGATCTTCTTTCCCTCGTACAATGTGCGCAAGGCGTCCAGCTTTGGCTCGATCCCCGGTCGCAGAATATCCCGGCCGACACGTTCTGCATCGACACCGACGGGGCAATGGGTTACTGCTGTGACGTGACCTTGAGCATCGATGCCACGAGGAGTGATCTCGTAGCCACAGACGCGGATACACGTGCTGATGAAATGGCGCGTGTAGGAATAGGTCTGGAAGCACACAACATCGGCACCGCACATTCCGTCCAGGATCTCTCGCCGACCTAGAGCCGAATCAGTAACGTCACGAGAAAAGATACTGGTCACCACTCACGAGGGAGACAGCGGAACACCTCGCTGCTAGGGAATGGGGTGTGGATGAAAAGCCCGAGAACGGCTTCAGGAATGAGTTCGCGGACGAGTTTAGGGACGAGCAGAAGATGATAGTCGTGGATCCAGATAAGGTCTCCTGGGCGATAAACCTCTGCGATCCGAGCAGCAAACGCGGCGTTAGCGGCGGCATACGCATTGTAGTCGGACTCTTGAGACGTATCCTCCGATGCGATGTCCTGCCACAAGAGGTAGTGGAAGAGTGGCCAAAGTGCTAAATGCTCGGGCTGAGCACAGGTCATACAGATATAAGTGTCAGAAACAACGCACTGTGCTTGCAATAACCATCGTAATGCCCATGGGCGACTTTGCCGTCCAGCCAGACGGGGACGTAGGTCGTCTTGCGGTCATCGTCAGGGTCCGACTCTTTCGGTTGGTAGGTACGCAAGATATCTTCCAGTGCCTTCCGATCCCCATCCGAAACCTTGTCCACAGAAACGACCTCGCCCTGCACTGTTGTTTGGATGTCTCCCGTCCAGCCGATGAGCAGCTGCTCGTGCGTTGCGTTGAGGGACGTGATACCAGATATCATCGCAGCGTGCCCATACCGGGGGACCAGCGACCACGCAGTGGGCGCCCCTTTTATGGTGCTCCCCTCCGGTACGGAAGTGGATGCCTGGGTTGGCGGGGGCGTCGCAGGGGGGCTAATCACTCCCGAATTCGCATTGAGTGTCGCTATGATAGGGAGTGAGTGGCAGACGTGCAAGACCCGTCCAGAGAGCGGGATGCCCGCAGCACGATGGTCCTCCTCCAGTGCACGAATCTGCTTCCGGACCTCGTCCAATGAGATGTCGTCTCCGATACGGGTGTAAGGTTCTGCGAAACTATCCATCGTCCGTACTTGCTCTATCGTGAGTAGATGGTGGAGGATGGGAGAGGGACAGATGTGGCGGGTGATTCGGGTATATGTAATGGCACAGTCTAGCTGTCGTGCGTTTCTATCTTGATTCTTGCAATGGCCGTTCCGGGAGAAAGACAGGTGAGATTTCTCGCTGACGCCTAAACTAGGCAATCTATGACGGTATGGCACAGCCACATGATGTCTCAGTTCTGGACATCATGGTCCGAAATCACCCCGCGACTGGCGACCCTGGCGAACGTGCCGGGGGTTGGCTCTTCTTGTACCAGTGATGGACGGTACCGAGGGAACGTGTCTGCAGTGTATTGGGTCGTGCCAACTCCGAGACTTTCTAAATGTTGATCAGGAGAAGAGTTTCCCCTTGCCCCTGCATGTCGAAAACAAGTCGGTCCCTTTTGTCTGATGTATAACCAATTACGTAGCTTTCTCGCACTCCCCAAAGTAATCCAATTTCCGTCAGCCGTTTTGAGCCCATCGCGTTAGCGATCGTCAAATTTTCGGAGACCATGGTCATCAAGTTTGCGCGTCAGCCGTATCGCGTGAAATTTTTGTCACGGGCACGTGCATGTGCATCTTACTATGTGGTCTCCTGAGCGCTGAACATCACTACATACTTCTGCCAAACGAGAGCGTCATTACAACACTGTCATCAACCATCCGTCACCTGCACTTCAGTTTAGTCAGTGCCACGATGAGAATCGTAACAGAAGTTTTACATCAGAGCTCAGCATACTGTGCCATAACTTCCGCGGAAAGCATACATCCGATTGGATTTCAAGCTCGGGCCTAGCTTCAGTCTAGCTCTGACCACCAATGATCGGTGCGGAAAGCTTCTGATTCTTATCGGAACGATGAGGAAGCCAGCCGATCTTCCTCTTGATCACATCGAGGAATAGAAACATGAAGAAACTAGTAACGTACAAACAACTACTGGATAATATACAGACGGTCGTCGAGGACAAAAGAAAGAATCAAAGAGCAAGCCCATATTGTTTCGCGATAAATTTCCCCAGATATTGTACCAATTCGGCAGTCTCCTCTCCAACAGGGCGGATCCAGGAGGCTGGCAGGGAGAATCCATATGTCCCCGTGTCCCGAAGGAATGCGGCATACGCATATTTGATATTTGCGATTTTATAGACATAATCCAGGAAATTGCCAGGTGCGCTAGCATAGAGGTCAAACTCGCCAGACTAGAGAGAGAAAAAGAGAAAATGCCGCACCGATACAATAATTCGCAAAGTGTTCCTGTCTGTTATATCATGAGCAGAATCCAATATGAGAGGAAAACTTGACTGACATCGAATTGTGTGCCATGGATGCTTTTTGCCGCTTGGACAGCCCCATGCAACGCTTCCATCTGGAATTCCGCGTCCTTAGGGAATTTGTTGCATTTATACGAGAATGGCGCCGCCACTAGGCAAAGGAGAGAAATGAGATTCGGATTGAAAAAATGCAGCGAAACGAAGACTGACCCATTTGTCCGTAACTTCTTAAATCAAGAAATGCCACAACCCCACCTTTCGCACCTTTACCGACACCGCCGATCTTCGTTATATAATTCGCGATATTATTCACTTCTGGGGATTCGAAAGCCCTGTGACCCGGATACCAGTGCGAACAGGGATCAGCAGGCTCCTCTTTCTTAGTGTTCGCTTTGATCAATGGGTGATCGGCCTCGGGTTTCCATTTATAGCCCTTGGAAGACGTATCAATAGAGCGCAAGAGTTTGGAGATAGATAGATACCCAGTTCCTAACACGAGGAGATAAGATTGCAATTTTATACGTGAGAAAAGGGCCCACCGGTTCATATCTATCCCAATGCATTTCGCTTGTGGTCCAACTATCTGTCGATTTTTGTACCTGTAGATCTTTTCAATAACAATATATTTTAGAAAACGGTCGAAAGCTCACCAGAAACGATCGCTTTTCCATGTGTGAACATAACCGTCTGGATTCGGCGATGGTATGATGTGAAAATCCTTCCAAATCGAACTCAGATTTGATCGATCCCAACGAAGAGGCACCCACATAGACATCCAGTAAATGGGAGAGGGAACGAGGCTCGGAAGAATCAGAGAGGAGGGCATGAGCGATATAGAGTGCAGTCGACGTTGCGACCCACTAAAGACCGAATGTCAGCATGTCGAAATCGAAGCTGAGAAAGGCAAACCTCGCGTGCATGTTGTGGCCCCATGATCACAAATCCCAGCTTCTTTTTCCCAGTCTCTTTGGAAATCTTCAGACCCAGCATCTCTCTTTCTTCTGCGGTATGCCCCAGTGTGAGAAGAGTGACGAGCGAAGGGTGCAGGCGACGCAATTCGAGCATGAACGCGTCGACATCGTTTTGCGTATGATAGCTTGCATGAAAGGTTGAGTTTCCAAGCGTTTCCAGTCCCCAATCGGACGGCGAGAGTTCAGAACGGGACGGTGGAATGTCGGACCAGACGTTGCTTGATGAATGAGGAAGGCGAGCCAGCGAGAGTGGGAGAGCGGAAAAATTTTCAGGGGTGTATATATCCACAAATCTGCTCGAATCTGTTCGAATCTGCCAGATATCGAGCGCGTGAGACTGAACATGATTGGTCGTGTGAGCACCACACTCGGCATATTGGCTGCAGGGCGACGCACCTCAGCCTCGGACAGAATCCCCCCGAGACTTTCTGCATCTCTGAATTTGAACCTATGAATTACTCCATGGCTGCTGAGTGGCTGTGGTGGGGTGAGGAAGACGTGCTGCTCGAGCGCAGGGATCAGACTCGGAAGGGAGACGAGCATTCCCAAGAGGGCACTATGCAGCGCAGAGACTTTCATGATGGCGTGATATGTTCGATTTCACGTGAATATCAGCGTAATGAGGCTTTCGAGCAAGGTCGCTCTCTGCCCTGAGCGGAATGAGAGTGGAGGGGAGAGAACGTCGGCAACTTCCGCGCATCAATCAACTGTGCGATGACGGCGATCAATGTCGCGACACAGTCACATGACATCTTTCATGCCTCAGTCTTCGTCTAGATGATAGTAGATTATGATTTCAACTTCAAGTGGATCGAGATCAACGAGTAATCCACAGGCGTGTTGGTGTGCCCTCATATTTGAGATACTTGACCTCAATAATTCTCTCTCGAGTAAGCCGGATTGAGCTACAAGTACTTAAGAACCAGCGTTTGGCGATTTCTCTTAGATTTGAAGATGGGACACTTACAAAAAGATTGAATCCATAGAGATTCGTAAGATTGAAAGAGAAAGTATCCTGACCGTGAGTCTGTAAGGACTTCAAAGTGGAAGTGATTTCGAGCCTCAAGCTAGCGTCACATCATTTGTCACGCGGCCAACGCTCACTCAGCCCCTGCGATGATGAATCCGAGTCTTGGATCCCCCGAGTCCCTCTCTCACTATGCCTCATCATTTTTCCATACTTGACCGTTCATTCAGCGTTGAAACCAGCTACGCCGAGGCTTGGGGTCCCTATGAGACCTCTAATGATCCATTGATCACTGATTGGCGCCCATTCGTCGCGCTCGAGTCAAGCTCGACTTGTTTGACTACCAACCATCTGTCATGTAAGGACGAATACTGACTCAGACCAAGTGAGCGCTTGAATCTCTTTTAAAGTCGAGTGACATTCGGCCGTTTTCCATCTTCACCACGCATGTCTGACGGGAGTGCCCAGTTCGACACCGACTCCGAGGCTTCTCTCACCTACGATTTGCTCGTTGTCACCGATGCCACAGCTAGTATGGGCGGATGTATGTATCCTTTGTGTCGCGAAGTATGAATCTGCCCACACAGTATTCAGATCTGGACGCGCTGCGCCAGTCAATTCCTGAAATCCTCGCTCTACCCAAACTTTCTGGCGCTTTTTCTCGCGTGGGCGTTCTCGCCTACAAAGACTATAGTGACGAGACCGAGCTTGTCAACTGGTCTGGCTGGAATGTGCCCAACCTGTCCTCATTCGTGCACGATCTGCAATCCACCGGCGGTGGCGACTTCCCCGAGGCAGCGAAGACAGCCCTCATCCGCGCGCTGCAGAAGGTCGACGCGAAAAACGCACAGACGCTCGTGCTCTGGTACGCCGACGCTCCGCCTCACCACCCAGCTTTCACTAGTCACCTCAACGACGTGGCGGAGAAGCAGGCTTTCCCTGAGGGTTCGACGGACTGGGTGAAGCTGTGTCGAACTGCGAAACGCCGAGGGTGCACATTCTTCTGCTTCACCCCGCAGGGATTGGATGCACAGTACTCGTCGTTCTACGTGCTGCTAAGCGCGCTGACTGGTGGGATTTGTGTTGCTTCTAGGGCAGGGGAGAATGACAGCAAGACGCTGGCGAGGCTGTCGGTGGGGATGGTGATGCACTGGATGGGTCGCTCGACAGCCACGTTTTCCGACATTTTGGAGCAGTCAAATGCACGGCTTTTACGATACGTCAGTCCTCCGATCGAGAAGCTCACCGATGAGGGAAAGGGCGCTAGGGGATACCTTCCTGCGCGAGTCGTTGGGTCAAGTCGGGACGTCTGGCTGGCGCAGAAGATCTCCAAGCTCCCTCTGGGGTTGGATCACATACCTATCAGACATTCGATGAAAGAAAGCTTCGATCCTGGCAAGCGGTTCCTTGATCCCGGCGAGACGACATACCAGGCCATGGTCTACGAATCGCTCGCAGAGATCATCACCACGAATGTTGCATGTCTGACTTACAATCCTATCTTCGGGCAACTCTGGCGAGCCGTCTGCAGGGTCAACAACGAGCGCAAAGCTGCGTTGGTGAACCTGTTCAGCGCCCAGGTTGGGAGGATTGAGGACGTGGAGCAGAAGAAGGGACTGAAGCTGTGGCTGGAAGAGAGCTTCGACCAGACGGAAGAGATCGACAAGATGATCCAGGCCGCTGCCAGTCGCCCTGCAGTTTATCTGGACTTCGATGCAGACGTGAGGTTGACCCGGACGGAGCTATTGGAGGTCTCTCATAGCTGTTACCCTGGAGTTTTGAAACGCATCGGGAAGATCTTCACTCATCTCAAGGTGCGTGTTCTCTCGTGCCATTTGTATGCTTCTGTGACAAGTATTCGTTGTAGCTGGTCGAACCTGGAGTGACACTGGGCCCAAACGAACGTTTCGTTCCTCTGTCCCTCTCTGTCTCCGACGTGTTCCGCACGCTTCCTCACTTGATTGTCCCCGGAACGCTCTATCCTCACCGTGCCGCTGCGCTGACCGCCATTGTTGCTCTTGTCACGGGTGTGCCGTTCCTCGCTGACTTGGCCAAGTCGTTACTTGCAGCATTCAAGGGAAAATGGCTTGATCTCGAGGTTCCAGAGAACATCAGCTTCGATTGTGCAAGGCTTCTGCTGTCAGCCCCGGAGGGCATCGTGTTGACGAGACAAGAGAAGCGGGTATATGAGATGATGAGACGTTACAGGCTCATCGAGGCGAACCTCGACGCTCCAGTGCAAGTCAAAGTCCCCTGGGCGCCAGCGAAGACGAGGGGGTGCGGTGATATGAAAGTTCGGTGCAAGATGTGTTCGAAATTGTGAGTCGCTGGTTGTTTCGTCTCTTGTCTCAAGTTGACGAGGATGAAAGTCGCAGTGTGACTATAATGTGCCATGACCGAAATAATGTTTGTGGACACTGCTCCTTCGGTGATGGAGACAGCTATCTTGAATACTCTGATGTGAGTTGTAGGCTCTGTATCTTTGCACCAGCTGAGATTCTCCAGGAGGAAAGCTGCTGGGTAGAGTGTTCTTCGATGAAGTGTCGGGCCCAGTACGTTGTCGATAACGTGGCTGGATTGAGAGTGAGCTCGTCTCTTGTCTCTCACCCCATGCCATTTACCGTCAACAGATCCGCCCTCGCTGCCATTACTGTCGCACCCACATCTCCTGTCCTTGGATCGAGTGCTCGGTCTGTACCAACCGAGTGATCATCCCAGAGGCCTATCGCACAACAGCAGCGGACAAGTTTACGTGTCCAGGCTGTACCAATGGAGACTGGGCCTCGATCGCATCACAGGAAAGCACGGTCCGGGCGATCAATAAGGAGAACGGTGTGGGCTGGCTTGGGATGGTGGCCGATGTGTTTGCCGGAAAGTCTGCCTTCAAGCTCATGCAGGCTTCCGGGAAAGCTGCTTTCGGATTTGTGCCTCGACATCGATCTCTTTCGCTTGTGCTGGGCCAGAAGAAGGTGTTCAACGCTGCCGATGTGTTGGCTCAGGTCGAAGCGAGGGACTCTGTGTTCCTCGCCACTTGTTCGTTGTGTTTCGAGGATGTACGCCCAGACAAGCTCGTGCGGGCCTGCGGTCGGACCGGATGCACCCAGCTGGTGGATGAGCGGTGTCTCAAGGAATGGGTGAGCGGTGATCTGGATCTGAAATGGATAGCATCTGACCAGTGCCTCTCGCGCAGTACGGCGGGAACGCTCCCGGCAAACTGCTCAACTTGATGCAGTTCAAGTGTCCGTTCTGCCGCCGTCAGCCACTCCTGAAAACATTCATGCGCTACAACCGGGCTGCGGCGGCACTCAGTCAGGTCAAGAACGCATTCGGGAACCGCCGGTGGCTGTATGCCTGGTGCACAGATTGCGGATCGGCCCAGCGGGCGTTTGAGCGCACGGCGTGCTCCGACCGGGAGCTTCCGCCCATGGCGCCTGGCTGGTCGTGCGAGGATTGCACTGTTTCCCAGACCATTAACACCTTTGGCGCACGACTTGTGCAATGTCCAAACCCGTCGTGTGGAATGCACATTGATCTCATTGACGGGTGTAATCATGTTGTCTGCGTGTGCGGCACTCATCTATGCTTTGCCTGCGGGGAGCAATTCGAGTCGGATGCCATCTACGAGCATATGGTCCAGGCTCATGGGTCCATTTTCGCCGAGGTGGAGGAAGAACTTGATGAATACTAGAGTAGTCGCGCCTTTTTCGTACCATTTTAATTTGATCTACTTTCCTCGATCTCAGATGCCACGATAGACCTCGGGTATAATCCATGCATTCTGGGACGCCGTAGTACCTAGAGCCTACTCTGGCCTTTGATAGCATTCGCCTCGCGCCATATGTTGTCTACAGAGCGCCAATATCTCTCAGGGTCGGCAAATGCGTGCCGGACATGCGCAGTGCCGCTGAACTCCTCCGTCGTCACGTTCAGGCCGTTCTCTCTTGCTGCACGAAGATGCGCCCGGACGCGCGACGCAGGGATCACGCGGTCGGCGTCGGAGAAGATATACAGCCGCGGAGTTGCCCTGTCCATCCATGGAAACAGGCTCGGATTCACAAGAGCCGGCACGATCGTATCCTGGGGCATCTTCCCTAAGCAGATGGCTGCACGAGCTTGCAGATGGGTAACGGCCAGCTCTGCCACTCCCAGAAACACCAGTCGCCGTAGACCAGCAGGAACGGATGCCGTGACCGCTCTGCGGAGGTCGGCACGGACATAGCTTGCCGGGACCGGAGTCGAAGACGAGCGCGAAGGGTACTTTGTGTGAGGGCGGAATGCTGGGGATATGTCGTTTATTGATGGCGAGCGAGAGAAGGTACAGCTGCGCTGCACCGCCTGCCGGGCGTGCATCAGTTTCTATCTGATGTGCGAGCACGGACAACGCACCTCCAGACATCACGTGGAATAGCATGGGAGGCGGGGTAGCGCTGAGAACACCGTACTCCGCAAGCAGATCCACTGCTGGGCCAAGCTTCGCGATCTGGTTGTGTCGCCGTCCTTAGTAATGTTATAAGGAGCAGAATGCGCTTACGTTTGCCGCCTGGATACCGGCCACCGTCTGAAAGTCCGACTGGATGACAATCTGCACGGCGCTGGGGTACATCGACGAGTAGCGTGCGGAATAAGATCTCAAATGGGACAGTTTGGCGTGGACTGCCACGGAAGTTCAGAGATAGACGACTGGCAAGAACATAGTCTGCGCACACCACCCCAGGAATACTACGATGCTGGTCCCAGATTGGTGAGCCGGTTCCTTTCGAAAGAATGTACTCACTGAGGATGACTCTTGCACGCAGCTAAGCCTGGGGCTTTGGATTCAGGAGCGATCACGAAGGCCAGCTGGGTTGGAGACATGATCGGGTGCAGCTGCGACTTGTGCTCGATGGCATTATGGTTTAGCAGTCGCTGCTTCGACCGATTACAAGCGAGTAGATCTTCGAGTACACAACTCGGAGGGGCAAGTCGCTGTCCAATTCGGCCTACCTTCAGGACTGCCTGTCAGCGAAACTACTCGCCCCCGTTCTGCAGACAGTGAGCGCCAAGCTAAGTTGATAGGGAACGACTCAGCTCGTTTTTACACAAATGATCAAACGCTGGTATGTTCGGATAAAAAGTCCAGACTAATCGTCCGAGCAGGCAGGACAGATGAAAGTTACTCGAACGGGGTTTGCAGCCAAGGACTGACGATCGCGTCCTTTCGCTTTCCGCTTCCGAGTCCATCTGTAAAGTAAATGACACATCACCACAAAAATGCACCAAGTGAAAGAGTGCGTGGTTTGGCAGGGACTGCAGTAGATGGGGGCAAAGGAATGGCATCTTGAACTCGTCGGTGGGTAGTAGCCACCAATTGCGGAGGCCGACTGTCATCATGCGTGGCAAGACTTTCCTTTATAGAGCGTGGGAGCTTGGACTCGTATTGGATTCCAGTTCACCATGGGGCGGCGAATGCGCCCTAGACCCATGACTACAGCCCAACGCGCTCCATGTCTACTGCTACAGTCGGGCTCGGGAAAGAGTTCCCGTGATGAACCAGCCGGTTGATTTCTCGTGAAAGTGGTCAAATGAAGTAGAAATTCGAAGTCGCTCAGTTGTTTGTAGTCCATTTGGATGGGAAGGATCGACGAGGCAATCATCAATGATCACAAAAAGTCACAGATAACGTGATAGTCACGACAAGCTGGCTGCTTTCCGATTATCTACAGTGGTCACCCCTAACTCTCTCAACGTTTTGCCCACACCACTTGAGAACGTTCCTTGTGGATGAAGGATATTTAACTCATTTCCAAGTTCTGTAGAAAGTTGATCTATCTGGCATTCTGACGAGCTCGTGAGGTTCGAGAAAGCAAATGACTTCCCCTAGTCCCCGGATTCCCTGCCTCCCTGCCTCCCCTGCTCACGCCACTAACTTCCAAACACTCGGCTTCAGGCTCTCTGCACCGGAAGCGATTGGGATCATTCGTTCGCCACCTTTCCTTCTGCCGCTGAATTGAAAGTCTTTTCTCTACAATGTCTCGCGATTCGCTCCAGTTTATTCCTTGGTCGGGTCCCTCTATCCCTATGACTATCAATGGGAAGTGATCTTGGAGCTGCAAAAGAAGGAAGGCGGTATATCTTGAGCATCTTTATCAGGTTGCTACCGACCACGCAACTCATGCGGCTCCTCTCGTGCTCGGGAGTGGTGCCGCATTCACTGGTACCAACACTTGTGCGCCGGTTAATCACTAACTTGCGGTGAGATCTGGTGGGACGGGCCCACCTTTCGTCCATGGGGATATCAGCGAGTCGATTCAATCTATGTATCGGCCCATGCGCCGCAGGGATGCTACTCCGGCGTCCAAGTGCTGTCGCGGGCGACGTTCTTGCCGGGTATCAGGCCGCATTGCCATCTTTTGGGAATGCATCGATACCCAGTCGGATTTGGATAGCTGTGCGTATGTTCCTGAAATCTCCCCCGAGTGGACTCTCATGATCCTATCTGCGCAGGTGGAGGGTGCTCATACGCCAGCTTCGAAATTGACTGCGCATAGATTCCAGGGGGGTTCTCGACATCGCAGGCAAGTGGATTGTCAACAAGTGCTTGCCCCACTTTTCCGCCAACGGCTCTCGGTGTATTGAGAACGAAGCTTTGCGGTCTCTGCTTGCCGACCAGCATGACACACCCTTTTGATCGTGTATCTTTTCCGAGTACTCTGGTCCCTCGACGAGATTCACATTCCATGCATCCGGCCTAAAGCTTAAGACTTCGAATGGAACTGAGCCGCATTCAGCTCACGCAGGGAGCGAGCAGAAAGATTGTATACTAGATGCATCTTGTACGATGCTTTTGATACGAGCTCTTGCACGAGCATTTACGCTCCTACAAACTTGTGCACGCCCTCCAGCCATGCGATATATTCCTAATTCAAAGATCAGACAATTTGAACAGGAAACAATCGTTTTCCAACGCACCCTTTGCTCCTTCCACTGTGCGTATTCCGGGATGAAGACACCCAGTGCCTCGTCGATCCCGCGTTCACGGAAAAACGCGTCAAATTGCTCCTGCAGTCCAGCGTCGAGGGTCTCAAACTAACATGCCGACAGTGAGCATTCTTATTCGGTACTGAAACCACGAAAACGCACCACAGGCCCGTTGTACAGCAGACGTCGCGTGAAATCGGCGTCCATGGTGAGCCCCGTGCCGGTCTCGCTGTCCGCATAGTACGAGACATTGGCCGGCTGAAGCACGCCGTTGGAGCAGTAGAAGTCGGCCGTCATCGCACCCGGCGCGTTAGACTACGCATGCAGTTTGTACAGGTCAATAGGCGGGTGACGGGAGACTGACGCGCCTTGGAGAAAGTTACGCGCACGCGCAGCTCCGTGGGTGTTTCGGATTCCTCCTCCTCCTCCTCCATTTCATTCTCAGGGCTTTCGTCAACGGTCTGGAGGTCGGCGATGGAGAACATGACGCGGATGCTGAGGAAGCGGGGATGAGTTGGTTCCACGGTAGAGTATATGGGCGATGTCATACGCACGTCTCATTCTCATACTTCCCAAACAGCAGCACCTCGTCGTTCCCCGGGACATCCTCCAGCTGAAATCGCGACAGTCAGAGAGTTTCTTATAGTTGGATGAGAGCCGGGGGAACCTTCCATACGCCTTCCGAAAGGAAAGCCGAAAGCACTTCGGGCAACTGCTCTCCGCTGTCGCTCGCAGCTTTCACCTCGTAGTCGAGCTCTTCCTTAAGTTTTTCAAGGAGGGCGGTGGAAGCTGGTGAGATAGGCGCGTAAGAGACGACTGCAGACCAGCCAGAAGTACTGCGCACCGGGGGTAGCACTGCGAGTGGGCGTGGAAACCGAGAACGCGCGAAGGGTCGTGGATGGGAGCGCGCGTCCAGTAGCCGCTAGCAAATGCAGACGCGGCGAGTGTTTCCCCCTCAGGGAAACAGTCCGGGAGATTGAAGATAGTTGGCGGAGAGCGCGAAGGGAAGACATGAGGGACGTGCAGAGCAATTAGAAATCTCAAGGTTAGGGTTACCGTTTCGTCTACCATATACATCCCTGTTTTCATCCATGGCTCAGTGTGTACAACGAATCAGATATGGCTTTCCTCTGTATTCATAAAAATCTACCTGAAATTGTGCACTTGTACCAATGGATGTGTTGAGAAATAAGAAATGTGTTGAGACCGACTGTGTGACGGTCTGCGACTCTGGGTGATACGTGAAGCAGCATTGTCGTCCACAGTGCGACCACGTAGTGTGGACTGAAGGCAGGTGTAGCGGCGGCATATCTTTCGAGCCTTGAGGTGGTTCGTTGCACAGATAAGGAAGATTGAAAGCGTCCAGGCTCGAACCAAGTCGTATACTATTCATCGCGTCACACGGATGGTCCAACACTGCCTAGGTCTGCTCGAAGTCTGGCCTCCTCTATCAGCGTCTCAGCCTCGACCTTGATGGTCGTCCTGTTGAGTGTGGCCATCGTCAGTCCCTTCCTGGTTCGGATGTGCGACTCCCAGTCAAGAGGGAACCTCTCCTCCAGCAGGAAGCAGCGCAGATCCGAGACATTGCCCGCAAACATCGTCGTAAGCGAGCAAGCGCTGCATGTCGTCGCAATTAGACACCCGAAGCTCTGAGCGTAAATACATACTTGGATGTTCCCAGCATCCTATGCAGTGTGTCAAGCGAGTATTCCGGATTCGCCAATCGGGAATGCGCTCGTCGTTGGGCCAGATACCGAGCCAAGTCTTTGTCACACAGAAGCAGCCCGTTGTCGCCTGAAGCAGATCCGAGAAACTGCTCGATGAATGGCCGGTATGGTTTGTCTTGTCCGGAATCGAAGAAGCAGTCTTGCCCTGCGGTCGAGAATTAGCGATCTGCCGAGTATTAGGAGTCGACGAGTGGCGCATACGAGTGATGGACGCGTCGTGCTCGATACCGTTGTGCAAGCTGATATCAGCCAAGTCGCACGCACCCTGTGGGTCAGGAAATGAGCATGCCACAGAGCACAATCAGAATCAGTGTCTCGGCCCACGGTTTTGTAATCCCTCCCCAAAACATCCGCGATGAATCGTGCTACGAAGAGCGAGAACGTCGGGGCAAAGTTCCACGTCTCTCTGACCGTCTCGGTAAGCGTGGTGAACTTGATATCTTTCCCGTCTGCCAGTTGCTGATTAACAGGCCAATGCCACAAGAGAAGTGATACGCACCGTGAGGCAGGATTCCTGATTGTGCTTCTTTCATAACTGAAGTCATTCAGCGGTGTGGGCGACGCACCGTGATTTGCCATCGCGTTCAGCATCGGGCACGCGCACCGGCTGTCATCCTCCGTCGGCGGCACAAATTCTGGCCAACACCGCCCCGCACCAGGCATGTCTTTCCGGACCACTTGGCCTTTCTTACGCTTGGGTGCGACAAGGTTGTAAAGGGTCAAGAGGGTGTCGTAAGCATAGATGTATGCACTGGTGAGTGTTCGAGGAGCGCGTACGATGAGCATGGGGCCAGGCGAGCAAGGTCGTCGTCAGAAGCGGAGCTTTCATGTGGTGCGGCCGCATGCATGAACACGACTCATTCAATTCCTTACGCAGATTGTCTGTCCCGTGTTGGGGATTTAGGAGAAACACAAGCCGATTGTGTGTAATGGACGCGCAAATCGGCAGCGAGTTCTTTGCGCGGTGTAGCACCCGACCGTCACCCAGCTTGATGCGACGTGTCACTCGACTTGAGCCAGTCCCAGTATATATTTCGTTACACCGCCTCGAGTGCAAGTGGTGAGCAGATGGATGCGGAGCTGGAAGCGCGAGTCGTTGAGGGATGAGTGCGTCATGGGAAGCGCCCCGCACACACCGATGGGACTTCCAAAACACCCTTCTCAGGGCTCCATCTCCGACTGTCGTCATGGTGGAAGAAACCTTGAGTCATTGTTCAATCGGTCGGTCGGTACTTAGACAATTGCGCGGCAGCAGATCGAGTTACTTCCAGGAAGAGTATTCAGATGGCTTGAGGAGCGAATAGCTAGTTCTGTAGGATCGTAATTGAGCAAAGCCTTCCAACTGCTTCGTCCATCCACATAACTCACAAGGTCCTCCCTACAGTTGGAGCGAAGAAGCGGAACCATCCAGTCTCGACTCTAGGCTCCTGTGAGTCGGAGTAGCATGGATTCTCATTCGTCATTCTGCGCACGCTGAGAGGCGCCAGTAATATGAGACGTCGGAAGTCTGCGGGATCTACCGGATTCCAATCGTTGAAACTGTCTCTTTAGGAGCTCCTGGCGAATGTCGACCGAGTAGCAGACCTGGGCTCAACACTTCTGGTTACGTAATAGATCAAGCATGATGCAATCAACTCTTCCAACTTGGCCGGATGGCTCAAAGACTTGCAGGCAACTCTTATTCGTAACCCCCACTGTCAAGCTTTTCTCCTCATGGGCGAAATCAGCAAGTTCTACGATATCCAACTGCTCATTTTGTCGGCTCTATGTCTACTCGCTCTTGTCCTGGACCGCTTCTACTCGATGTCGCGTCGGAAGCACGCGAGTGAGGACGCCCTCGCTGAGCGTGCAGAGAGCGGATACGGAATTACAGGGACGGGCGAGGCTTTGGCTACCTTGACGAAGCAATATCTCATCGTCTACTCCATCGTCATGGGTTTGTCTCTCAGCTACATCTGTCTCAGGCGGCACTGACTTGAACTGCTCAGGCGCGGACTGGCTCCAAGGGCCATACATCTACTCGCTGTACCACGAACAATATGCCTACACGGAAAGCACGGTCGCGCTCCTTTTCGTGGTCGGCTTCGTCTCTGCCGCCCTCGCCGCACCACTCGTGGGCTCCTGGGCAGACCAGCATGGGCGAAAGCGGATGTGCCTCATCTTCTGTGCCGTATACACCACAGCGTGCATCTGCACCCAAACGTCCTTCCTCCCGGCCCTCTTCCTCGGCCGCGTCGTCGCTGGTTTCGCAACGTCCATCCTCTTCAGCGCGTTCGAGGCGTGGTTGATCAGTGCGGCAAGTGCTCAGGGCCTGCACTCGTCAGATCTGTCGACGTTGATGGGTCGAGCGACCCTCGTGAATGGGATCGTGGCTACTGGTGCTGGAGTTGCGAGCAACCAGCTCGTGGCCTTCACTCACTCGTTTGCAAGCCCGTTCATCCTGAGCGGCGGGCTTCTCGTTGTTGCGTGGCTTGTCATCCGTGCTACCTGGACAGAAAATTACGGAAACTCCCCGGTGTCTTCTGGGGGAGAGAAGCCGTCTTCTAGCGCAGGCATGACAACGGACAGGTTCCAGATTGCTCGATTGGGAACAGCTCTGCGGATAGTACGAGACGATACTCGCCTTCTGGTTCTCGGCACTGTGCAGACTTGCTTTGAGGGGTCGATGTATCTCTTTGTGTTTCTCTGGGTTCCCGCCCTGCAGCAACATTCGACGCTGACTCAGCTTCCTCTGGGCTTCATTTTCTCGTCATTCATGCTGAGCATGATGCTGGGCTCGTTGCTGTACACGTTTTTGGCCACCCGCTCGGTAGACTCAAGCATCCTCACACACGCCAAGCTTTCGAGTTGTGTCTGTGCGGTATCTGGATTTTCCTTGGCTGCGTCTGCTTCGATTCCCGACGAACGGGTTCGTTTCTGGGCATTCTGCTTGTTTGAATGCTGTGTGGGGATGTACTTTCCGGTGCAGGGAATGCTGCGGTCCGCGTTGATCGCCGATTCGCAGCGGGCCACTCTCGGTGCCCTGTTCCGGGTGCCGTTAAACTTGCTGGTCGTGGGCAGTCTTCTGGGTGGTGTCGGTGCAGTCGGAGGAGAAGGCGGACGAGGTGGTGTCATGACAGCATGTTCCTTGATGCTGTGTGGCGCGAGCATACTTGTTGGTGTCGTTCTCGTTGGCCGCGCTGACAAATACGTCGCGCAGGGCAACCCGGTCGCCGTGGGCGTCATCCGCGAGTGAATTTCAAGCCGTTGCATCTAATCAAAATCAATGTTGTAGTAACCCTCCATGTATCGTAGCTGATGATAATTGTAGACAATCCGATGGCTTCAACCCGCAAGTGGCGTCTGTACTAATCACACGCATCCCGACTAGAAAAATACACCAGGGCACTTATATAGCGTGTTGACTACTCCCGTGAGCGGCTCAGAACGCGAATCGATGGTTCAGGCGAATCAGAGTCTGGCATGGCACCTTACCCGTCAATCAATCTTCTGGTCTGCCTGGACCGGGACGTTGACTTGAAAGCTTGGAACATTTGTGTGGCGCCGTCGAAGTCTGTTGAAAGGAGTTGGATTCGGAGACAATAACGCTTAAAGAGATAGAGTATCGACTAGTCAGCAAAACTTACAGAGATGACGACAAGCCTGCGATTGCGGTTAAGAGAGATTGGGGCGGAATCATTACACATTGCATGGGTAGTCAGATGCACGATGTGTCCGAACAGATTCTTGAGTTGTGCAAAGGTGTCTGCTTTTTTGTGGTGCCGTGCTCTGTTAATCTTAGGAACCTACCTACTCCGACGTCGCACGCCATCGCAACTTCGGTAGCTTCAATCGATGCAAAATTAATGAAGTTGGCTTGTCAAAACTGGGACCTGGGTGCCCGAGCTTAAAGCAAGAAGACATACGTTGCCTTGAGGCAAACCATTTGATAGGCTATTTGAGCGGCAATCTTTGCCCTGACTGGGCTATGTCACCAAAGCGGAATCTTGTCTAGATTAAGCGTAGGGCCAAGCTATGTCCACGACAGTTGCGCACAGTGTACTGTTCAGGAAGGGGGGAGGGGGGGCTGGGTTTGCAAGTGAAGTACAGATATGCAATCGCATTGCCACGATGGCTCCAGTCTGGATTCGAACGCGTTCAGACACGCGCTCACATCGGTGTCTAGTATGATTGTCCTCCACAATCAATGAAGTTGAGGCTGTTACGGACCACGAATTAGGCTAAATTGTGGAGACTTTGAGGCTTTCTCAGGCATTTGCTGTAATTCGATACATTCTGCCTCGCATCCTCTTCTGGCGGCATCTGACGCGCGAAGGTGCTCGCGAATCCTGTCTGCTGCACAAGGCGTGATTCGGTCTCATGACCGCGGCGGTGATCTGTCAGATCATTCATCATTATTTCCCTGCCTCCCCCGCCCCCGCATCTTCACCCTCCATGAGTCATGTTTCAACCTTCTTCCAATGGAACGCCCTTCCCGTGGAGATCTCTCTCATGATCCTTGGGCTGCTGGATCCCTACGACATTCTCGCTTGTCGTATGGTAAGCTTGGTCCCTTGATGAGCAAAGATCCAAACTTGCCAGGCTTCGAGATCGATGTGGATGCTAAGCAATCAACTTAGCTTATGGACTGAATGCTTGCGCAACCTCGACGGTCATGGATTCTACCCACATTCCTCCGAAAGTCCATCTCTTTCCGAGCTCGAACGCACCGCCACGGCAGGCCAAAGATTTACCCGCCGATTCCAGCGACACATCTCACACGATCATTTTGGTCCCTTCCCTGCACTCAAGCGATTGTACATCGAGCCTGCTGATCCCGAGGAGGAGCTCGAACATCTGCGGATGGTGCCCGGCGGGAGGTTTCTGTTAACCACTCATGATTGCATCGTCCGGCTGTGGGATCTGACGAAGCCCTCATCTGGACCGGTCTCGAGCTTAGAGATCGAGCCTGCGAGCTTTTTGATTTCCGTTTGGGTGAGGCTCTCTCCGCCTCCGAATCACGATCCTTTAGTCATCGTTGCGAGCCAAGAGGCAGAGTGGGTCTCATCAGTTTCTGCGTGTTGCACAATCTGAATCGACAAGCTTGTTCCACATTCATATATTAACGATCAAGCCCGAAGGACAGTTGGTTGTAGAGCACCCAATTCTTGCGCTGTCCATCCCGACCTCGGAATTTGCGTGGATAATCTGTGCGACTGCGAGACTCGTCGCGATCCAACTGGGACACAAGCTTATTGTGTGGGACAACCAACGAGATTTGTGGATGAGCTGGGATTTGAGCAGCCTCCAAGTCCCGAAGACTTCCCAACGGGTTTGTGCCTGTCATTTCCAGATCTTATCCTTTGTTCAGCATCCGCAGACGGCTTATGTGTTCGATGGGAATATCGCAATATTTAATCCCGACGAGAGCGAACTCACCAATCTCGGATTCCGTCCCTTGAGCCACGCGCTTCGACTGCGACTCATCCTCCGCTGTTGAAGGTAGCACCTGATATCTTGCAGCGATACACTCTCTATCGCTTCAATTCCTGCAGCGGCTCACAAATTCATTTGCGGGCGTTACACTTGTTTTCCACCCGGAAACCAGCACACGGGAGCGCCCGGTCCGGGTCGACGTCGTCAGCTCTGACGAGAACGAAAATGTGATCTTGTCTTATTTGTGTTGATAGCAGAGACCGATGGCAGCCACCCGAAACTCGTTGCTGTCGGAGGAAGTCAGCTGGCTGCATGGTTCGATCTGTGCCACTCCTTTCACCTGGAATGGATATCCTGCGATACGGTCCAATGTTCATCATGAAAGCACAGTGCTTCACGTCGTCATCTCACAAGTGTCCTTCCCTGACGACTCACTCCTTCATCG